CCACAGTGCTTCTGGTAAGGCTGTTCTGCCCACCCCATGTTTTCTGATGTCCAGTTCGGGGTGGGGGTTCATTCCCCCTTCTTCGGCTGTCAAATCCACCTTTCAAAACCTCTCTCTATATTACCTTCCTCTTCTCCTCCCCACCCTCCCACCCCAACCTCTTCCTTCCGGAAGCTTCCTTTCCCTCCTCCCTCCCAATGGCGGAGCTTGATAATAAACAGTCACCAACTTACTATCGTTTTTTAAAAAAAAATTGAAGTGGAATTCACATAACATAAAATTAACCATTTTAAAGTGTACAGTTCAGTAGCATTTAGTACATTCACAATGTTGTGTAACCACCACCTCTCTCTAGTTTCAGAACATTTTCATCACCCCAAAGAAAATCCAGTACCCGTTAACAGTCACTCTCCCTTCCCCCTCTTCCTAGCCCCTGGCAACCACTAGTCTGCCTTCTGTTTCTATAGATTTCCTTATTCTGGACATTTCATATAAATGGGATGACAATATGTGTGCTTCTGTGTCTGCTTCTTTCATTTAGCATAATGGTTTTACGGTTCATCTACACTGTAGCATGTATCAGAGTTTCACTCCTTCTTATGGCTGAATAGTATTCCATTGTGTGTGTATACCACATTCTGTTAATCTGCTGTTCGGTTGTTTCCACCTTTTAGCCATTGCGAATAGTGCTTCAGTTGACCTCCACCATCTTTTATGCAATCACTGTCCCCTGTTGCAGTTTGGGCACAGGGGCTGTGGCTTTTGGTGTCCCCTGAGGCCTAGACAGGGTGAGCTCATTCATAACCTCTGATTGCTGGGTCTGTTGAAACCAAGAGGGAGAAGGCTGGGAGCTAGATGTGCCCCTAGCTCTTGGGCCTGGCTCTGCATACTTTATCTGGTTTAATTTCTGCCTAGAGGGAAGTAGAGAGTGGAAAGTGCTGGTTTTTCTCCACCCTGAAGTACTTCTCCCTCCTGTGCCTGGGACAAGTTCATAATAACCAGTTGGGAAATTTCTTAGCTCTGTGACCTGAGGTCTACTCTGACCTCAGCATCCTCATCTGTAAAATGGGGATGATCGTTCTTGTTTCACAGAGTTGTGAGGATTAAATGGGTTGGAACCTGCGGAATGCTTGCTTCTTTCCCTACCTGGATTTGGAGTTCTGGGTGAGGGACCACTTGAGGGAAGGCACTTGGAGGAAGGACGATTTTTGTGGAATCCTTCTCGATTAACAACTACCAGTGCCTTTTGGGGTCCTCTTAGAAGGGGAAGAAGCTGAGATAATTCTCATCACCATGTTTAGCTGTCACTGCTGAAAAGTTGTCCCCAACTTCCCTTTTCTGCAGTTAGTTACCTCTGATGCTCAGTGTATGAATCTGTGGAAATTTTCTCCCATTTCACCCCCAGGCCCAACTAGGCTCTGAGCTAACTTCAGGAAGATGAGCTTTCTGTTGATTGTATTCTTTTAAAAAGTACTTATGAGGCATCCTCCATGCCAGTTAACTTGTAGGGTGTTGTTTGCAAGGGTCTTTTTTTTTTTTTTCCTGTGGTCACTGGAAGAGTTTGGGGGCCTGGAAGACCAGGACTTGCCTCCTGGCTTTACCTCTCACTGACCAGCTCTGTAACCCTTGATGACAGATCACTGACCTTTCACTTTTTTTTAATCTATAAAAATGTGAAAATGAGTCACCTTGCTTTGTGGTTGCTGTAGTGTTCTTTTGGTTGCAAATCTTAGACAACCCAAACAAGAGTAATTAAATAATAAGGGGTATTGCATCTCCCCAGGCAAGAAGTCTGGAGGTAGAAAGAGTCTAAAATTGCTTGACTTGGCAGTGCAGGGATCCAGGTGTTTTCTGTCATTCCCCTCATCAGCCATCCTCAGCAGGTGGGTGAGTTCTTCCCTCCTTGTCACATAGTGGCTGCAGCGGCTCCAGGCATCATGGGTAGATCTGCTGAAGTCCAGCGAAGCAGGATGGTGTTTCCTTCCGTCTGATTCCTTTTTATTAGTGAGGAAGCTCTTCCCCAAGAGACCCCTTGCAGACTTCTCTTAGGTGCTCTTGTCCTTCGTTTTAGTCTGCATCCTTTAGGTCCCCTGGGTCCTAAGGCAAGGATTAAACTGCTAATGCTTTATTTGGGAAGTCAAGGCCTAGTGAGGTCAAGATGAGGGAACAGAAGGGGGAGTGAGGCCAAAAAGACATGAAGCCATGTGATGTAGTGTGTTATCCCTCTGGCTACGATTTCATGATGAACCTTGAAAAGATACCAGCTGGTGTGTATGCCTGGCACATAGGGCCTTCTTTGGGAGGGTTGCCAGGAGAAACTGTACCTGGATTTGTCAAAGAAGCACACTGATAATATCGCTTGAAATTAATTTTTAAACCTTCCCTAAGTCCTGGTACATTTCTCGCCAGTTGCTTTACCCTGGAAGGTAGTGTAGCTAGTGGTTTAGGACACAGACTCTGGAGTCAGACTGCCTGGGTTCAGATCCAGGTGCTATAGCTCACCAGCCCATTAGGGACCTGTGCCTCCCTTTTGGTAATGTTTGGAGGATTAAGTGAGTTAATATCTGAAAGCACTTGGGACAGTGCCTGGCAGAGTCAGTGCTCTGGGCATATGATTTTAATCTTTGGAAACGTGACTTTTTGCCATGACCATGATTCTCGAACTTTCACCTGTAGAACTCAGAGTCCTTTGACACGTTGTCCTGTGTAGTGACTATCAGCCACTCAATGTTTGCTGAGTCTAGGACTGTAAAGGGCACAGATGGAGATGCACAGACACGCTTCACCTTCATGTGTGCCCTCAGTGAGTGGTACCTACCCGAGGGCACCCTCCATCTGTCCTCCTCTCTCCCTCTGCCACGGCCTCCTGGGACTCGGAGCCTGTCTGCTTTAGCTCTCGGGCTCTAGCACAGCGCTTGACACATGCAGGTGTGCGGGAATCGCTTGTTAATGAGTTGTCAGTACTTTCTGCCTTGAAGTCCTTTTTTACAGACATGTCTTATTTCCCTTACTTTCCTGTAAACAGTTTGATGACAGGACCCAGATCTTTCATGTCTTAGGCAACATTTGGTTGGATGGTTGGATGATTGAATGGATTCCAGGTGAGGACACAACATATAGATGCCCAGGCAGAGAGATAATAACATTGCAAAGGGCCAGGACATGCCATCCTAGGGTCATGAGGTTATGTAGTTTAATGTTTTCCAACTAATGGGCCAAAAAAAAGTTTGCTGCCCTGTGCTGCTTAACTAGCAACTGACTCCTCCTTTTTCTCCCTCTCTTGTGGTCCATCCTGGATGACGTGGATTGATGCATAGCATAGATTGAGGGGCAGGGCCTGGAGGGAGGAAGATGAGCTGGAAAAGTTTAGGCCTGAGATGAGGAGGAATTGAGGGTACAGTGCAGTGGTGGGAATGGAAAGTTTGAGAGAGGGGGTGAGTAGGCAAGTATATCAACAGGGCTTCCCATCCCCCCCGGCTTGCAGGGAGTGAGGAGAGGAAGAGTACTGGATTCCTTTGAGTACTAGTGCCTGGGTCACTGGGAGACAGGACGGGGCCGGACCCCTCCCCCCCACCCCCCTTCTGTCCACCTATCTCATGAGATGAAAACTAATGTTGTTCTTATCTTCTCCGTTTGATAAATGCAAATTTTCAGGATAAGCGGAAGGAATACTGGCCTGGGTAAATCAGGCTCCTGGGACCTGACTGGCCTTGGCCTTAGCCTTGCTGTGGGACCTTGGACAAGTTTTTCCCTTCTCTGGGCCTTAGGGGTTGCCTCCTCTCCAAAATGAGAGGCTCATTCTTTCCTTCCGTGGCATTTATTGAGTGCCTACTGTGTGTAATATTCTAGGCACGGACATAGACGCGGTTTCTGTTCTCGTGGAGTGTACATTTCAGTTGCAGGAGACTGACAGTAACTGAGGTGAATGCCGGGAGAAAACTCACCAGTGATGTGGTGGAGAGTGAGTGGGGCTAATTTCCCTTGGTTGGTTGGACACGGACTCCGTGAAGAGGTGGCATCTGAGGCCACAGTCTGGGAAGGTCTGGGGGCAGAGTGTTTTTGGAGAAGGGAATCAATACGTAAAGGGTCCAAGGGAGAATCAGCTTCAAGAACATTGTAAACGGTGTGAGAGGCTATGAGATCAGAGAGGCCACACAGGCTGTAGTTAAGAGGTTGCATTTTATTCTAAGTGTGATGGGAGGTTGGAGGACGCTTTTTTCCACTAGAGTCCCTTTTGATTATTTTCTACTTTGTAAGGACCATACTTTGAAATATCCAAAAAGGTGTGTTAACTAAACAACAGAATGAACAATCTTGAAATATTTTAGGTTTTTAAAGTGTGGGGAAATAACGTATGGCTCGTGATAAATATCTTTGAGGATCCCCAGGGATCTAAAGATGGCAGATTGAGATACGGTCAACTAGACAATCTTTAAGGTCCCTCTGTTTCAAACATTCATTCTTCTCAAAGCTGATTGCCATGTGATTAAAAAAAAAAGATGACTGCCACCTACTGATAGAAGATGAATTTTTGCACAATGAAGATCTCAAACCCGGTGGATTTCTTCTGTCACGCATCTGGCTTTATACCCTCCATTTCTCGACCTGAAGTGGCTCTGAGGGAGGGGTGATGGGGCGATGGTCCTGCTTTCCTTTCTTTCTGACCCAGAGAATCTCAACTCTTGTTTCGATGTTCTTCTGCTTCAGTGCACAATGTAGCGACAGGAAGGAGTGCTGACCTGGGGAGTTGCTCTTGTTGGATGTTTCAGTGGGAAAAAACACTGCCAACAGTTGTCTGGTCTCCATTGTTTGTAGTTGACCCGCGGTTACACTGAATTCCCCTATTCAGTGGCCCTACACCCTAACCCTGGCCAACAGGCCTTTGCCTAATGTATTTAACACCCCGCCCCAGTTATTAAATTCCCAACTGCTTTATTTCTGATTTGCATTTGCCGTGGCTGAATGAATCTACTGACTTCCGTTTTCTTTTTCTGTTACAGATCGTGTGTACAGGTGACTGTAAGTACCACTTCCCATTCCACTCTTATGTTGTTCGCTACTGCCCCCCCATGGACACAGCAACATTAACAGCAACGTGAAAATCACAGAAAATGCTAATTTGCTAAAACTTGCTTAGTTTCCAATTTTTCTTTAGAAGTGGGGTGAGGGTGAAAACAGCAAGTGAAAGAAAAAAATTTTTTTTTTTTTTTTTTTTTGCGGTACGCGGGCCTCTCACTGTTGTGGCCTCTCCCGTTGCGGAGCACAGGCTCCGGACGCGCAGGCTCAGCGGCCATGGCTCACGGGCCCAGCTGCTCCGCGGCATGTGGGATCCTCCCGGACCGGGGCACGAACCCGTGTCCCCTGCATCGGCAGGCGGACTCTCAACCATTGCGCCACCAGGGAAGCCCAAGAAAAAATTTTTTATTTGTGCAATCCTGACAAAAAAATAATTTTTCTGTGATTTTTTTTCTAGCCTACATCTGTAGGTGATCAAAAAAAAACCCACTTAGTTTTCATAATGCAGTATCATTTATATTTATTTCATGTACTGTTATCCCATAATTATTTTCTTGTGTTGCTACATTACCACATGATTTTTAAAATGGTGTACAGGCTTTGCATAACCTTTGGAAAACCAGACATAGCCTCCTGGATACTTTGCTTCCACGTGGAGGGCTGAATCCCAGTTGCTGGTCCACTGAGGTCCTCCCAGGTCTATAGTAAAATGAGAAAAATAGGGACAGTATAATAAGTCTTTTATGAAACTAAATATATTCAGTTGAAATCACTGTTCATTCTGGGATTATGTCCTTACCAATTTTTTGGATCATAATTCGCTTCTTTAAGAAATAAAATTATTTATTTCTATAAGAAATAAAATTAAGAGTATATGGTAATTTTTTAATGTACGTTTTTGAAAAAATAAAAACTGGTAGCTTTTGTCTGTCCTCAAAATTCAAGGACTATTTTTTTTTTTCCTGATTCGTAAAACCTCAAAGTCTGTGAACCATAGAGATAAAATAATTAGAATATTCTCACAGTGCCATACAAAGGGGGCAGACCTTGCTGAAACCTTCTAATAAAGAAAAGCTCAGTTAATAACAGTCATTATGCAAAGCCTGTGCAAACAATAGAAAGAGGTCTACAATTGCTTTTTCTTCCTTGTTAATCAGTTTGGTAAGTAAACTGGAAGGTTCCTTGTGCAGGCTTGAATCACTGGTGCAAGAGAAGAAAACATCTGTTTGTAGAGGTGATACTGTAAAGTGGGGAAAGGGAGATGAGGGAACTATGATGCGTTTTAAAAATTATAATAAAAAAGTCTGTTGTATGGCTGGTGTACGGTGGGAGATGCCATTTTATTAGCTTGTGTTTCATTCTTCTTTCCTGTGTTCTAGGCTCCCGCTGCGATCTGCTTGAATTCACATCTACAGCCAGTGAGATTCAACCATCTATCAAGGCAGCAGGAAACTTTTCAGTGATAAACGTAACGGATTTGAGTGGCCAGAGTCAGCAGTTTCTCCGAGCAGACAGTGATGGGAAGACTTCATTTTCAGGGCTGGTTCCTGGGATGCACTATCTTTTCACCTTTTCAAATGGCTCCAGTACCTGCTGCCAAGAAGTGCAGATACGTGAGTGAGGCTTTTCTTTTGGGGATGGATTGTGGGTTTTAGAGAATGTCAGTGTCTTCACGTTTGAGCAGTACTGCGATGGCGTAGTGGTTAAAAGCGCAGACCGAGAATCAGGGTCCCAGGTTTGCTTCCTGGGTCTGTCAGTGTTTCACTGTATGACCTGGGGCTAGTCCTTGGTCCTCTTAGACCTCAGTTTCTTCCTCTTTATTACCAAAAATACATACATATACACACACACATAGTTTTAAAAGATATTTTAAGATGTACTTTGCTGAACTATTGAAAGTTAAGAACTTCCTTTTCTAGGGAATTCCCTGGTGGTCCAGTGGTTAGGACTCCACGCTTTCACTGCTGAGGGTGCAGGTTCAATCCCTGGTTGGGGAACTAAGGTCCTGCAAGCCTTGTGGTACGGCACAAAAACAAACAAACAAACAAAAAAAAACCCTGCTTTTTAAAAATCTTTCCCTGTAGAAACAGAATCCCTGTATAAATCAACAAAATTTCGTTCTTGACGTATTTCTCTTTCTTTAAAATGGCGCCATAGCCTTCTTCAGGAAGTTATTGTGAAGCATAAATGAGAAAATGTGTGCACAGCGCCTGGCGCAGTGCCTGGGACCCAGCCAGCACCCAGAAGAGGACTGCTGCTTCTTCTTGCTGCCCTCACGCTGTGACTGTGCCTATTGTTTTATCATTATCCTCACCACCATCATCACTGCTGATTGCAAATGGTACCACAATGATGACCTGCCAAAATGCTACTCTGACGCTGTGAACCGGTTACTTTATAAAGAGGAGGTTCAAGTCTGAGGGGCTTTCTGGCATGAAGTTTATTGAATTGTGGGCCACCAGATTCTTCTGTGCCTGGTCCCTTTTCTTTTCTCTTGTTTCCTCTCCTGCCCTTCTTCTTTGATTGGGTTAATGTTTGCATCTCCCAGGTTCCAGGTCAGGCACACTCTCCATGCTGTCATTTGAAGGCCACATGCATGCTGAAGTGGTGTTACCTGTACCACCTTTATTCTTCTGGGATAAGGCCCTGGGTCCTTGAGAAGGGCCTTATTGCCTATGCAATAAGGGTAACTTCTGTTTCTAGTTGTTACTCCTCCATCTAGACTGTAATTAGGATGCATCCATTTTGAAGTTTTAGTTACTGTTAATCACCATCATGGCTTCCATTGTGTTAAGATCCTGTACATCTACAATTTGACAGATGATGAAGTGAGGTTCAGAGCAGTGAGATGACTTCGAGTACAATCACATGCTAGTGGCCAGCAGGATTGGACTCTGAGCCCTGATTTGTGAATGTCCAAGTCCAATGACTTTGTTTACAATTTCAGGGTGCCTTAATAATAATCCTTTGTGTTTAAGAGCTGTCAGCAGAGGAACCTGAGACTGCGATGTTTTAAGGGACTAATTCCAGGTCACACAGCTAAGGGGCAGAGCAGTGCCTTACATCCAGGTCTGGATTCCAAGACCAGCTCTTTTCTCTTTATGCCATTCTGTCCTATGCCATCTTTAGGCCAGAGAACTGTGGAGCGTCCTCCTAATATCTGGGTCTGGAAAAAAAGTTATCATATGCTTCTGCGCTGCATATGCCTCTCCAGAAGCAGTGTTTTCTGAGAATCAGGAGATAGACTTATTTTGCGTCACAGGTCTCTTTTATGTCAGCTTCTGTACAGATTTAGCTCCCTGTTCAAGTCATGGCCAACAAGGCCACCCTCTGTTATTTTTATCTTTGTTTTACAGCCTTCTGTTTCACTAACACACATGCATACATGTATATATGGGAATCTAAATGTATTTTGTTGGAGGGAAGTCCAGGAGGCAAATAAAGAGAAATGAAATTCTACGGTTGCAAAATTCACTTCTGGAAAGTAGACGTACAGAGCAGTCCCTACTCTTACATTTCTTTTCGAAATATAATTTTTTTCTTTCCTTTTTTTGGGAAACAATATTAAAATAGAACCCAGTCCTACAGAAGCCGTTACCATCAGTCCAACCAGTGTGACCCTAACCTGGAAAAACGACACAGCTGGAGTAACGAGTACGATGGAAAATGGGCAGATGAGTCTTGCAAATCAAACAGGTGGTAACAGCACATACTCAAGTCCAGGAAGCGATGGGACTTCAGGAGACACCACATTAGGTAAGATGAGTAGCTCCCAGGAATGATCATGAACCATCCTTCTTGTCCTGTATCCTAGAGCCTTGCCCATTCAAGTTGCCTGCTGGAAAGAGATTGATTTTCATTAACTGTGGAAGACGAGAAAAGATTCTGTATTGTTTCCAGCCCGGGAGTTCAGGTGACAGGATCACTCAGTATTAAGGTCCTGTGTGTTTTGGGATATTTTAGCTACTTCCAACTGTTTGGTTTAAAATTGTTTTCATTATTATTGATTAATACTTACTTTTCTGCTAGGACTTGGGAACGGAGACCTGTTAGAAATGTGTCTTGGGCTTCCCTGGTGGCGTGGTGGTTAAGAATCTGCCTGCGAAGGCAGGGGACACGGGTTTGAGCCCTGGTCTGGGAAGTTCCCACATGCCACGGAGCAACTAAGCCCGTGTGCCACAACTGCTGAGCCTGCGCTCTAGAGCCTGCACGCCACAACTACTGAAGCTCACACACCGCAACGAAGAGTAGCCCCCGCTTGCTGCAACTAAAGAAAGCCTGCGCACAGCAATGAAGACCCAACACAGCCATTAATTAATTAATTAATTAATTGAAAAAAAAAGAAAAAGAAATGTGTCTTGATGGTGTTGGTAATTACTAGGCTTCTTTTAATCTCCCCAGGGAAGTTGATGCTATACTTATATTCCTGGGAGCTTCTGTTGGGCATGAAAGTTTGATATACTTTATAGAGGAGTATGTGCTTCAAATGAAATAAGAGTCCAGGGACTCTTATTAAGCTTAGATTTTTCTTTAGTTTAGATGTCAGTACCCTGAGCCACCTGTTACAGCTGCAAATTTAGCTTTTTTTTTTTTAAGCTGAAAAGAACCAAAAATATAAAAAACAGATGAGACGCTCTTTTTAAGCTGAGAAGAATACACAATTTAAAAAAGAGGTCCTGTGTTGGTTTTCTGATCACACCCTGTGTCGGGTGTGCTCTCATTGGCTGGTGAAGGCTGTGGAAAGCTGACCTCCTGAGCCCATGGTGTGAAGTGACTGCCTGGCACAGCGCCTTCTGCACACGGAGCAGGCCAACGCTAAACCAGTGGTTTTCAACATTTTTTTTTTTTAAGCCTGGAAACTATTTCCTTAAATAAAATCTTGCCCAGATGCCCAGTAAGTAAAAAGAACTGAAGAGAGAGGAGCTACAGGGATGCAGTGTCACAGGTACCTTCAAAAACCTCCTGGAGGTTCTGAGCACAGTTTTAGAGAAAACAGAAACCCACAGTAAAGATTTGCTGTATTGTGAGAGAGAGAGGAAAAGAAGGAGAGGGCAGAGAGGAGATAGAAGAGAATTAAGGAGGAAGAAGAAGACAGAATTTAGAAATGCTGATGCGACAACGTGATACAGAATTGGTGACTATAGGAAAGGGGAGGTGGACAGGTGGCCAGAAGCCCGCAGCCCAGGAACCAAGGATCCTCACTCCACCTTAAAGCCCCCAAGGTCAAGGCTGTGTTTATCAGCTCCTGTTTACTGAGCACATACCATGTGTTTAGCTGTCCTTAATACATCAGGGTGTCCTCACAGTAACCCTGAGGGCTACAGTGGAAGAAATGGTAATGCCGAGAAGTTAAGTTTCTTCTGAGCTCCCAGAGTTATTGAGCCATCGTGTAGTGGGAACCCAGCAGTCTGATTCCAGAGCGCTGTGGTACAATGGTGTTCATAACAGTTACCCAGATCATTGAGATGGCTGCTTTATTTGTGTTGCGCGTGTCTTTTTTTTTTTTTTTTTTGCGGTACGCGGGCCTCTCACTGCTGTGGCGTCTCCCGTTGCGGAGCACAGGCTCCGGACACGCAGTCTCAGCGGCCATGGCTCACGGGCCCAGCCGCTCCGCGGCACGTGGGATCTTCCCGGACCGGGGCACGAACCCGTGTCCCCTGCATCGGCCGGCGGACTCTCAGCCACTGCGCCACCAGGGAAGCCCCTGCACGTGTCTTTTTTAAAGAAACATGTGACCCGATGTAGAAATCTTTGCATCAGAAACATTTGATGTGAAGAACAGAATTGCAGAATGGACCAGCTCGCCTCAGACCTGGATGGTGCCTTGCAGTCGTCCAGGCCAGTGTCTTTGAGTTCAGCCACCTCAAGCAGGGTTGTGGAACTGTCTGCAGTGCTGCCTGTGCTTGTATCAATATATGCTTAAAGCTGGAGCCCTGGGCTCTAGTTTCCCTGATGCTACAAGTAGTGTGCATTCTTGAGCAAGTCACCCTGCTGTTCTGAATCTCCATGTTCTTATCTCAAGATTGAAGGGAGTGGATGTCATCTTGGCCAAAATGGTTTGGTTTATGTCACAACCAGTCAAATAAAGTGATAGAAAGAACGGAGGGGGGATAATAGAGACTGGAAATGTTCTGAAAATTTCCCTTGGGGTTGGAATACAGGGAAGAGGGTCTTCGTTGAAATGTCTTGATACTGTGAAATATTATTTGTATTATCTGGAATTGAGACCTTTAGATGTAGCAAATGATCACTTTTTTTTTGATGCTTATTCCTGATATCTAAAACAAATATTAAATGCTGCTGTTTAAAAGCGCAATTTAGAAGAGTATCAGATCACTGTTGGAATTAACTGTCATGGAGAACAGTTCAGCTCCTAAAAAATTATGGCCTTAAGGTTTATGCTTTTCTCCTTTTTTTTCTGCATAATGATAAGTTTTCTCCCTGCTGTGAAATGATGGAGCTGCACTGGACTCTGATATAATGGAAGTATTTTTAGTGGGTCATATTGAAACATCAATGTCCCCAGTCATTCTTAATGAAAGGTGACTACAAGTATCTTATTCCATCAGTGCCCACTGTGTGTTTTTAAAATAGAGCCTCATCCAGTTTCTGGTCTTCGTGTTGTCTTCGTGGGTGTGACGCACGTTGCTCTTACCTGGAAGAATGATAACATCACTGACACCTGCCGGATGTTCCTTGAAGGAAGCCAGGAGTCGACTCAAAACTTAGCACTCAATATTTCAGACCTGAAGCCAGGGGTTCAAAAAAACGTCACCCTGTATCTTTCAAATAAGTCACAGAGTGACCCTCTGGTTACAGAAAATAGCTTAGGTGAGTTACAAAAGTGGGCTTCTGATCTGCCTTGGTGGTTTTGACTTTCAGTAACTTATAGTTAAGAAAAATTGTTCTTATAATTTGTACGGAGCTTAGAATTTATAGAGGTCTTCTCCGCATTTTAGTTTGACCTCCACGAGTGTGTGAGGAAGGAGGGGAAAATGTTATTATTTTACAGGTCAGCACAGTGGGTGTTGAAACTTTTTGGAGCCTGGCATCCAGGAAAGTAGCTGGGCCCTTTAGCTTCTTAAACTTTCGGTTGGGGGGCTTCCCTGGTGGCGCAGTGGCTGAGAGTCCGCCTGCCGATGCAGGGGACGGGGGTTCGTGCCCCGGTCCGGGAAGATCCCACATGCCGCGGGGCGGCTGGGCCCGTGAGCCATGGCCGCTGAGCCTGCGCGTCCAGAGCCTGTGCTCCGCAATGGGAGAGGCCACGACAGTGAGAGGCCTGCGTACCGCAAAAACAAACGAACAAACAAACAGACTTTCGGTTGCATAGACAACAGATGTGTTAACCCAAGTAGGCCCGCCGGAGGAACTTAACCGCATCCATTGAGAAAAGGGCTGCTTATCAGGCAGATCTAGCAGGTTCTTCTGCATTGACAGTGGAGTAGTCATTTGCAGACTTCATAGAATTTTCAGGGGTAACCCTGTGAATTGAGAACAAGTACTCAATCCCCATTTTACACATAAGGAAACAGATGTATAGAGTAGGTGTCAGAATTCTTGATGGCAGGTGACAGAGTCAGACTTGAAATAGCTTAGACTACAAGAGCAACTGCTTGGCTCGTGTATATTTCCCCACCAGGGGCAGCAAGGCCTTGAAGGAGGAGAGGAGGTGACTCTTGTCTCTCTTTCCTGCTTCTTTCTTTTTACCAGCTTTCCCCTGGTTCAGCGGTTCTGCTTGTTTCACCCTCTCTCAGCAGGGGACTGGTCCAGGGAAAGAATTCCTTGAGTGGGCTCTGCTTAGCCAGGTGTGAATCATGAGGTTGTCCTGGAAATCCATGTTTGGAGTTGGGTGGGAGACGATGGTTTCTCGAAGGAAGCTGGGAAGAGATGCAAATCGCTGAGTTGGAGAGAGAAGCACAGATATCTGCGGTGCTACCGGGGCTAAAAGTGCAAAGTGCAATACCTGCCCCAAATCAAGACCCTTTCACAGAGAACGAACGTGCGGACACGGTGGAGGGGAAGAGGGGGTGGGATGAATTGGGAGATTGGGATTGACATATATACACTACCATGTGTAAAACAGATAGCTAGTGGGAACCTGCTGTTTGGTGCAGAGGACTCAGCTCTGTGCTCTGTGGTGACATAGATGGGTGGGATGAGGGGGGGTGGGAGGGAGGCCCAAGAGGGAGGGGATGCATGTATACATACAGCTGTTTCACTTTATAGTACAGCAGAAACTAACACAACACTGTAAAACAACTATACCCCAACTAAAAAAAAGAAAAGGCAAAAACCTCACCAAACCCCCAAATCAGGGCCCTTTCAGGAGCATGTGTATCTCTGGGGGAGGAAGGGAACAGGTGTTTGTGGAGTCCCAGCTGTGGGTACTGTCTGATGTGTCGTCTTACGGTGGGGAGGGCACCGGCGCTGACGGAAGACAGGGATGCACTTCTGTCGCAGGTAATGTCTTTGCCTTTTGTGTTTGAAACAGATGCCAGCAACACAGACCGCTTTCTGCAGCCACTCGGGAGCCCCACTGCCCCTGGGTACAAATATGGACTTGAACCTGCACCCCCGTTCTCTGACCCTTCTCTGCCCCAAGACACCACGGAAGTCCTGCTTTTTGGGTTAAAGTCTGACACACAGTACAAGGCCACTGTTTATCCTCGAGCAGCGAATGGTGCCGAAGGACAGCCCCGCGCCACAGAGTTTAAAACAAGTATGTTGAATTTTGTAAAGTGGCTTCAGCCAGAGTTTTCTAGCACAACGTTTGTCTTCTGTGATTCTGGTTCCGAGTTATCTCTTGCTTCATAAGTAGTTTTGTTGTGGGAGAGAGTTTTCTGGAAGAGGTTTTGGACAGAGCAGATCCAGTGAGTTTCTTCTTAACTCTGTGGGCAAGACCCTTCTTTCCTTGAGCTCATTACAGCGTAGCTGCTCATTTCCTTGCACAGCTACCATGTGCAGATGCCAGGGGCTACCTCATTCTTTCTTTCATAGCTCTGCATACTGGCCAACGAGACAAACTGGCATAATGTTTTTCTCTTGTAACTTGATATTCATTTTGTCCATGTTGGTTAAGTATTTTCCCCTTGAGAGAAGAAAATGAGTTTCCTTTTTTGGCCTGAACTTGGAAGGCATACTGACCTTCCTATGATACTTGCTGACATGCACATTGCTGCTTTCTACCTATCATTTGTCCGCACTGCCACTCTGTAAATTGAACAGTTTTAGAGACTTTTTGGTTTGGTGCTGATGAGGGGGTAAAGAATGGTTCCTGCCCTCAGGGAATTGCAGTATAGATGGGGAATCAAGGCAAACATATATAGGAAAGCACACGGTCAGGCTCTGTGGGTTCAGGAACAAATGCTGTAGCCTTGCAGCTGTTGGGGGCTTGCTTGCAGGCAACACAGACCGACTCGGGTTATCTTATCCAACGATATCTCTATTCTATGTATGACAGTCTCTTTTCTGTACAGTAGAAGCTAACACCACCATCATATTTGTAAGTCAGATATACTCCAATAAAAATTAAAACAAACAAACAAACAAACCCCCAAAATATATCTGTTCTGAAAGGCTGTCATAGATCCATAGAATGGAGGGAGTAAGGATGGAGGCTGGAGGACCAAGGACAGAAAACAGTCGAGCATCCAGGGAACTCTGGGGGGCTGGTCCATGCTGGAGCTGGTGACAGTCTCTCAGGATCCTAGGGTGGAGAGGGTGTCCTGTTGCTTTCTAGATGGCTGTGCTGGGGAAGGGAGCCGCTGTCCCTCCAGCTTCCACATGGGTGATAGGCACTTCCTCCCTACAAGGGGAAGAGGGACTTGGATGCTGCATAGGCAGCCCATGGTCACTGTGCACTATAGTTGCCCACTAAGTGCTGTGGACATGGGAAGGCTGGAGCCTGATTTTAATATTAAATCCCAAAGGAAGGCCTCTTCTACAGGGAGGATCTGAACTTTCTTTGAAGGGAGGATAGGATTTGGATAAATGGAGAGGAAGCGGAGGATGTGTCAGCTGAGGCAACGTCATGAGTGAAAGTGCAGATGATGGACGCTGAGGTACGAAAGTGGAGAGGCACTGGGACTAGGTAACGTCTCAGGGACTCTGATGATTCTGGAGGGGTTGATTCATTTCCTAGAGAGATGGTATATGTGTGTTTTGAGAGCTGCTCTCTCTTTTGGAGGGGCTGGGAGGATGTGCTATAGGACACCTGAGGGCAATTTTTGGCTGGGGGAGGAGTGGGGGGAAGGGACTCCTCCAGGGGTGCCATTGACAGTGGTGGGGCTGTCCTACATACAAGATGCTTGTGCAGGGAGGTGAGTGGGGCTGGAATCTAGTCTCTGGGTCTTTCACCAAGCCACACACCCCGGGGCAGAGCCATCCAGAGGAGGGCCTTTTTGCCTGATCCTGCTAAAAGCGGCCTGTGGATTAGTGTGGACCTGGGGTTCCCTGCTTTTTAAAGTGATTTGAGTGGAATCAAAGTAACAGTGATTGCATTTTTGGCTTTTGGTCATGTGGATATACACAAAGTCTGGTTGGTGTTGACTGTCCTAGTGTTTAATAAATAATAATATTATTATATAATATATACTACTATAATAATTATATTATAGCCTTAACCCTCTCTATGTTGTGTGTGTATGTATATGTGTGTGTATACTCATGTGTACACACACACACACATACACACAGATACACATACATGTGTGGTACCAGGCACTTTTCAAGTGACTAATTAGGTGGGATGGAGTTAAGGACACCATCAGAGGATGTTGAGACGCCTGAGACTAGTCATGATAGGAAATTACGTCCAAAGCTGAAGAGTAAGGGGGAGGAGATGGTGTTTCTGGAGCCGAGCGAGGGCTGGGGCAGTGGAGGACACAGCTATGTCAGAACAGGTGACCCAGAGCAGGAGGCAGTGAGGAGAAAGACTCCCAGCTGCTTTCTCCTCCAGCCCCCCAGTAGCGTGCCCCTATCGCCCACTGGTGGAACCTGGTCCCAGGCCACCTGGCAGAGTCTCTACCCCCGACCCGTGCACCAGTGATGCAAGGTACAGGGCTCAGCCTCCCCGGGGCACAGAGCAGGCAGGAGAAGGACAGAGGGTGGATTGGGAGAGTGGGGTGGGCAAGTGGTGAATAACTAGCACTCTTGTGTTACCTTTTGTTGAGTTAGGATTATTATCCTGACTTTATAGATGAGGAAACTGAGCTCGGTGATTTTCCTACGATCCACCTGCCTATTCAAGTAGAGCTGACCTTGGAACCCAGACCTGCCTCACGTGAAAGTCTGTGATCTTTACTTGATCATGTAGAGTATAGTGTTCATTCTTGGATGGGTGCATGCTTGAGACCTTTTGGGGTCACCCAGCCCCTAGGGGGGCATGTGTAGAGTCCATGTTGTTGTTTGAGGAGTCTGTCGCATCTCTAAGCGTCAGCTCACAAGAAGAGAGTAGAGTGACTATGCAGTTGCAATTGGCCAGGTTGTTTTCTTCACTGAAGATGCTGCCTGACTTTTGCTGGGACCGCCCTACACTCAGGTATGTTGCGTTAAATGGTGTAGAGTAGGAAGGAAGAATCGCTAAGAGTGTTTCTTAGATTAGATGACGTTCCTTGATGACAGCATCTCTCCCTCTCTCTGTCTCTTTCTGTCTGCCTTGGCCATTCTGGTGGTTGTTAACTCCTCTTGTGTCTTTGCAGATTCCAGTCAGGTGTTTGACATCAAAGCTGTGAACATCAGTGCCACAAGCTTGACCCTGACCTGGAAAATCAATGAGAATGAGCCATCTTCTGTCTATACCTACAAGATACAAGTTGCTGGCGAGACAGATCCCTTCAATCTCACTGTCCATGAGACTCGTGCCGTCATCACCCCACTCAACTCGAGCACGTTATACAACATCACAGTGTGGCCTTTCCCTGACAACAGTTCTGCGGGCATACCGGGCTTTCTTCAGGTGTACACCCGTGAGTCCACTCATTGCTTTGCTAACCTTTCTTGCCTGCCTGCTATGCACCAGGCGCAGATACAAGACAAATTCTGTTCCTGCCCTTGAGGAAAGCACAGCTCACCTTGTGGGTCCACAGGGACTCTTACCACCTTCAGGATGTGTGATCTTATGACGGTGACGGTTGATTGACCCTGCCCACAGGCCCAGCGTCGCGTGACGGGCTTTCCTTGCACGGTCTCATTTAATGTTCACAAATCTGTGACGTGGCACTGGCCTCATTTTATGGATGAGGAAGCCAAGGCCGAGAGAGATGCTATGGACAGGTGTCAAACCTTGTGAGTGTCAGAGGTGGGATCAGACAGCTGGGCTGTCTCAGCTCCAGCCTGTGCTGGTGACAGCCATTCTAGTGTGCTAGTGACAGGGAGCAAGTTGATACATGGAGACAAAAAGAACCTGGTTATTCATGTCCCTTTGTCCTTTGGATGCTGACGTTATAAGGAAATAGGACACAGCTATGTCTTGTCTTTTCTTTCTTCTGATCCAGCTGTCTCTTAAAGACAAGATGTTAGGCAGCAGATAAAAACCATTCTGTTCCAAGGACGGTCCAATAATTAAAACAATAATGGCGTGCCAGTAGAGTAGTAATGTAATAATATAGTAATATCGGTATTGCACTGTGCCACGAGCTTTACATGTATTGTAGTGGTCTTCACGGTAGGTGTTAGGATCCCTGTCTTACAGATGAAAAGACTATAGCTCAGCACAGCTGAAGTGTTTGCCCAAGACCACAGAGCTGGTAAGCAGCAGGGCAGGGACTTGGACCCAGGGGTGCCTGGCTCTGGATCCAGGCCTCATCCCACCGGAATACTTTATTCGAGTGTCTGTTGCTTTCCAAGAAGCACACCTTAGGCATTCTTACAAACGTCTTCTGACTGGGTCTTTGGAATAAATGAAATCTGCTTTTCTTTTCTTCACCTTTTACTTTTTTTTTTACTGTTTAATCTGTTAGTTAGGATCAGGTTCATTGTGAGTAACAAATTCCCCAAGTATCCAAGACAGGAGTTTATTTCTCTCTCATTATAGAAGAAGCCCAATGCTAGGTAGGATGGGATGGTTAGCTACCGCTCAGTTGCAAGAAACAGAAACCATGAGCTATGTTAAGCTGAAGAGGATCTTACCTTGGGAACTGAGGGTTTATAGAATCATTGGAAGTGCTGGTGTGTTAGTTTGCTAGGACTGCCATAAAAGTACGGCAGATTGGGAGGCTTAAACAATAGAAATCGACTCTCTCACAGTTCTGGAGGCAAGAAGTCTGAGATCAGGTGATTCAGGCTTGGTTTCTTCTGAGACCTCCCTTCCTGGCTTTGTAATGGCCGGCTTCTCCCTGTGTCTTCACGTGATTCTCCTTTGGTCTGTGCATGTCTGTGTCCTAATCTCTCTTTTCTTAAAATTTTATTGAAGTATAGTTGATTTACAATGTTGTGTTTAATTTCTGCTGTACAGCAAAGTGATTTAGTTATACATAAATATATTCTTTTTCATATTCTTTTCCATTATGGTTTATCACAGGATATTGAATATAGTTCCCTCTAATCTAATAAGGATACTAGTCATAATGGATTGGATTAGGGCCCACCTTAATGGCCTCATTTTACCTTAATCACCTCTTTAAAAATCCTACCTCCAAATATAGTCAGATTCTGAGGTACTGATGGTTAGGACTTCAACATATGAATTTTGGGGGGACACAATTCAACTCATAACATGTGGGATGCAGCTCTAGGCTGGGATCCAGAAATGACTCCCAGCCTAAGGGTGCAGAACTCCCCATCCAGGGAGTCCCCAACTGTGTCACTGTCAGCAGCCCTGGCTGTAGTTGTTGGCTCCAGGAATGTACTGAGCCGCCATCCTGGCATCAGGAAGCTGCAGCCACTGCCACATTGTTGGTCCTATAGCCAGGCAGCCTGAGCTGCAGGCATCACATCCACATTCCAGTTACAAGAAGGAGGAAGGATAAAAGGTAACGCTCCATCCTTTAAGGATGCTTCTTGGGAGCCATATGGTCCTTATACTCACATCCCATTGGCCAGAACTTAGCCTAGTAGCAAGGGAGGCTGGGAAATGTAGTTTTTCTTTCCAATAGCCATGTACACTGCTACGAATCTGGGGGTGTATGATTAAGGAAAACGGAGGGGGGAATGGATTTTGGGGGTCAACAGCAGCCTCTGCTGCACTTCCTTAAACAGAGACTCTGGAAGGCTAAGTAATGTATACAACATAGGCAGCCAGCAGTGGCCAAGGTCCTCCAGTGCCTGAGCCCTTGACCCATGAGAATTTACGCCTCTTCTCATTTCCTTTGAATGACTTTGTACAACTTAAACACCAGTTTCTGCACTCCTGTGGCCAAGTGTTCTCTTGTTGGTTAGAAACATGAGTTTCTGAGGGGCTTGTGTTGTAGGTGATAATACAAAAAAGAGAAAAAGAGAGGTTGGGTGTCCCAAGTGTACGTTTAATCTCATTGTAAATATTTTGTGAGGTTCAGTCACCCTTGTCTTCTGGAGAAATAGATTCTTAATCTAGTCATTTACTTTCTACCCACAGTCCCCTGTCCAGTTTCTGACTTCCGAGTGACAAGTGTCAACACAAGGGAAATTGGCTTAGCATGGAATAGCAATGACTCTAATTCCTTTGAGATACATATCACACGGGATGAAGTTGGAGTAATTCAAACAACCACCAAACAAAGTATTGTCATTGATGGCTTATCCCCTGGAACCAAGTATCGTTTTGACATATTTCCACAAGGACCAGATGGGACTAAAGGGGATTCCCAAACAGTTTACGGTACAACTGGTAAGCAAATAGGTTGTATTTTCTGAGAAACAGTCATGTTTCTTAAGGGAAATCAGTATAATTTATAAATGTCAAATTTTCCAAATATTGCTTTTCTTTTAATTATCTAAGAAAATCTTTTTAACAAGTTTATAATGACAGCAATGCATATTCATTATATAAAATACAGACAAGCAAAAAGAAAAATCACATGTAAACCAACAACCAAAGATAATAACTAATAGCTTTTGATGCGTGATGTTTTAGAATTTTAAGGTATAGAAAGGTGTGTATGTGTATGTATATTTTAACAAATATTAAAATCCTGTACATGTATTATCTGCTTTTTTTCATTTCGAGTTTATTATGACTATTCTTCCCTATTAGCATGAATATTTCTGCAGGGTAATTTTTTTTTCTTTATTAAACATCTTCATTGGAGTATAATTGCTTTACAATGGTGTGTTAATTTTTGCTTTATAACAAAGTGAGTCAGTTATACATATGTCCCCATATCTCTTCCCTCTTGTGTCTCCCTCCCTCCCACCCTCCCTATCCCACCCCTCTAGATGGTCACAAAGCACCGAGCTGATCTCCCTGTGCTATGTGGCTGTTTCCCACTAGCTATCTGTTTTACGTTTGGTAGGGTATATATGTCCATGCCACTCTCTCACTTTGTCCCAGGTTACCCTTCCCCCACCCCGTATCCTCAAGTCCATTCTCTGTAGGTCTGTGTCGTTGTTCCCATCTTGCCCCTAGGTTCTTCATGACCATTTTTTTTTTTTTTTTTTTTTAGATTTCATATATATGTGTTAGCATACGGTATTTGTTTTTCTCTTTCTGACTTACTTCACTCTGTATGACAGACACTAGGTCTATCCACCTCACTACAAATAACTCAATTTTGTTTCTTTTTATGGATGAGTAATATTCCATTGTATATACGTGCCACATCTTCTTTATCCATTCATCTGTTGATGGACACTTAGGTTGCTTCCATGTCCTGGCTATTGTACATAGAGCTGCAATGAACATTTTGGTACCTGACTCTTCTTGAATTATGGTTTTCTCAGGGCACATGCCCAGTAGTGGGATTGCTGGATCATATGGTAGTTCCATTTTTAGTTTTTTAAGGAACCTCCATACTGTTCTCCATAGTGGCTGTATCAATTTACATTCCCAGCAACAGTGCAAGAGGGTTCCCTTTTCTCCACACCCTCTCCAGCAATTATTGTTTGTAGATTTTTTGATGATGGCCATTCTGACTGGTGTGAGGTGATACCTCACTGTAGTTTTGATTTGCATTTCTCTAAAGATTAATGATGTTGAGCATTCTTTCATGTGTTTGTTGGCAATCTGTATATCTTCTTTGGAGAAATGTCTATTCAGGTCTTCTGCCCATTTTTGGATTGGGTTGTGTGTTTTTTTGATACTGAGCTGCATGAGCTGCTTGTAACTTTTGGAGATTAATCCTTTGTCAGTTGCTTCATTTGCAAATATTTTCTTCCATTCTGAGGGTTGTCTTCTCTCCTTGTTTATGGTTTCCTTGTCTGTGTAAAACCTTTTAAGTTTCATTAGGTCCCATTTATTTATTTTTGTTTTTATTTCCATTTCTCTAAGAGGTGGGTCAAAAAGGATCTTGCTGTGATTTATGTCATAGAGTGTTCTGCCTACGTTTTCCTCTAAGAGTTTGATAGTGTCTGGCCTTACATTTAGGTCTTTAATCCATTTTGAGTTTATTTTTGTGTATGGTGTTAGGGAGTGTTCTAATTTCATTCTTTTACATGTAGCTGTCCAGTTTTCCCAGCACCACTTATTGAAGAGGCTGTCTTTTCTCCACTGTATATTCTTGCCTCCTTTATCAAAGATAAGGCGACCATATGTGCGTGGGTTTATCTCTGGGCTTTCTATCCTTTTCCATTGCTCTATATTTCTGTTTTTGTGCCAGTACCATACTGTCTTGATTACTGTTGCTTTGTCTGAAGTCAGGGAGCCTGATTCCTCCAGCTCCGTTTTTCTTTCTCAAGATTGCTTTGGCTATTTGGGGTCTTTTGTATTTCCATACAAATTGTGAAATTTTTTGTTCTAGTTCTGTGAAAAATGCCATTGGCAGTTTGATAGGGATTGCGTTGAATCTGTAGATTGCTTTGGGTAGTAGTCATTTTCACAATGTTGATTCTTCCAATCCAAGAACATGGTATATCTCTCCATCTATTTGTAATTTCACTTTCAGATTTTTCATCATTAGTGCATAGGAATGCAAGAGATTTCTGTGCATTAATTTTATATCCTGCTACTTTACCAATTCATTGATTAGCTCTAGTAGTTTTCTGGTAGCATCTTTAGGATTCTCTATGTATAGTATCATGTCATCTGCAAACAGTGACAGCTTTACTTCTTCTTTTCTGATTTGAATTCCTTTTATTTCTTTTTCTTCTCTGATTGCTGTGGCTAGGACTTCCAAAACTATGTTGAATAAGAGTGGTGAGAGTGGGCAACCTAGTCTTGTTCCTGATCTTAGTGGAAATGCTTTCAGTTTTTCACCATTGAGGACAATGTTGGCTGTGGGTTTGTCATATATCGCCTTTATTATGTTGAGGAAAGTTCCCTCTATGCCTACTTTCTGCAGGATTTTTATCATAAATGGGTGTTGAATTTTGTCGAAAGCTTTCTCTGCATCTATTGAGATGATCATATGGGTTTTCTCCTTCAGTTGTTATTATGGTGTATCACGTTGACTGATTTGTGTATATTGAAGAATCCTTGCATTCCTGGAATAAACCCCACTTGAACATGTTGTATGATCCTTTTAATGTGCTGTTGGACTCTTTTGCTAGTATTTTGTTGAGGATTTTTGCATCTATGTTCATCAGGGATATTGGCCTGTAGTTTTCTTTCTTTGTGACATCCTTGTCTGGTTTTGGTATCAGGGTGATGGTGGCCTCGTAGAATGGGTTTGGGAGTGTTCCTCCCTCTGCTATATTTTGGAAGAGTTTGAGAAGGATAGGTGTTATCTCTTCTCTAAATGTTTAATGGCATTCGCCTGTGAAGCCATCTGGTCCTGGGCTTTTGTTTGTTGGAAGATTTTTAATCACAGTTTGAATTTCAGTGCTTGTGATTGGTCTGTTCATATTTTCTGTTTCTTCCTGGTTCAGTCTCGGAAGGTTGTGCATTTCTAAGAATTTGTCCATTTCTTCCAGGTTGTCCATTTTATTGGCATATAGCTGCTTGTAGTAATCTCTCATGATCCTTTGTATTTCTGCAGTGTCAGTTGTTACTTCTCCTTTTTCATTTCTAATTCTATTGATTTGTGTCTTCTCCCTTCTTTTCTTGATGAGTCTGGCTAATGGTTTATCAATTTTGTTTATCTTCTCAAAGAACCAGCTTTTAGTTTTATTGATCTTTGCCATCGTTTCCTTAATTTCTTTTTCATTTATTTCTGATTTGATCTTTATGATTTCTTTCCTTCTCTGCAGGATAATTTTAATACCTGCCTGACATTCCATTGTCTAAATCAGGAGTCAGCAGATAAAAATGACCCATGGACCAAATCTGGCCCACTGCCTGTTTTTTTATAGAGAATTAAGTTTTATTGGAACACAACCATGCTCATTTCTTTATATAAAGTCTATGGCTTCTTTTGTGCTAGAAATGAGTAGTTGCCACAGAGAATAAATGGCCTGCAAAACCTAAAATATTTACTCTGTGGTCCATATGGAAAAAGTTCGCTGACCCCTTGGTTAGATCAGTGGTTCTCAAAGTGTGGTCCAGGGATCTCTGGGAGTCCCCTAGATTCTTTCAAGGGGGTCTGTAAGGTATTATTATTTTTAAGAATTTATTTATTTTATTTATTTATTTTTGGCTGCATGGGGTCTCTGTTGCTGCTTGCGGGCTTTCTCTAGTTGTGGTGAGCAGGGGCTACTCTTCGTTGCGGTGTGCGGGCTTCTCATTGCAGTGGCTTCTCTTGTTGCGGAGCACGGACTCTAGGCACATGGGCTTCAGTAGTTGTGGCTCTCGGGCTCTAGAGCGCAGGCTCAGTAGTTGTGGCACACGGGCTTAGTTGCTCCGTGGCATGTGGGATCTTCCCGGACCAGGGCTCGAACCTGTGTCGCCTGCACTGGGAGGCAGATTCTTAACCACTGAACCGCCAGGGAAGCCCTGTGAGGTATTATTATCATAATAATATTGGAATGCTATTTGGCTTCTTCACTCTCATTCTCTCATGATGAGTGTACAGTGGAGTTTTCTAGATGCTCTGTGACATGGGATGAGATCATTTTTCTGTTGGCTAATGGAATGCATGCTTGTGTATTCTTATGTTTTAAATATTTTCCCCATTAAAAATTTTCTATTACAGTATACATAAATGTAACCTAAATAAATAAAAATTCTCTGAGAGCCTTAATAAGTTTTAAGAAGATAAAGGGGTCCTGAAACCCTAAAGTTTATAAATATTTAACTACTCCCCTATTGCTGGACAGGTAGATTACTTATAGTCTTTCATAAACAACATTGTGATACAGTAGTTTTGTTAGTTCTATGAGGCCTATTGATATTGATAAAAATATTTCATGAAAACTATTGCTCATTATTGTTTTTAAAATTTGAAATGAAATTTTTGGGAAAGCTTGGAAAACATACAGTATTCCCTGATCTTTGATTGCCAGGGAATTGAAATCTTTTCCACAGAAGGGAGGAATAAAGAAATGAGACTGATATTCCTTGAGCCACGTGTGAAGTCATTTGGACTCTTGAGATTCTCCTTGTGTAGGTTTCTTCAACTCTGTTGGCTGGGTTAAGCACTGATAGCTACTAGGAAGATCTACTTCCAAAATATGGGGACTGCTAAAATGCATCCCTCAGATGAAATGCAGTAATTCCTTTTCAAGTCTGAATTTCAGATTAGACTTTTGAGGTAGGGTCATAGTATCAACGTATATTTTTTTCTTTCTTTTTGAGAATGTTGCTAATGGTAAAGGCATCACCATTGTGGGGTCCCTTTGATATTGTATGACTTGCCAACGGCCAGAATTTAATGTAATAATAACATAATGTACTAGGGGTCTACAAATGGCTGGGCTGTCATCCTGTATTTAAACATTTTGAACACAACTTCATGAGGTAGGGACTATTATCATCTCTATTTTATAGAGTAGGAAATGGGGACTCTGTGAACTTAAGTAACTGGCCCAGGGTGGCAAGGTAGTGAACTGGCCTCTGTCTGACTTTGAAGACTGAGGTCTTAACCAGAGTGTGGACTGTACTTTGATATGGTGCAGCTGCAAAAGTAATTTAAGCCTATTCATAAGGAGAAGGCATCTCTTGTACTATTGCCTGTAATTGTCCGGTTGAATGGAAATCAAGAAGAGTTGTAAAAAAAAAAAAAAAAAAAAAAAAGAAGAGTTGTAATAAGGCACTAGACTCTTAGGGCATTACCATTCTATTCTTGACCGACGTTCATTATTATTGGGGAGAATAAATGTAACAGCATTAAAGGCAATTTTGAAAAAGGGAAACAAATACCGTATGACCCAGCAATTCCACTCCTACATGTATATATATTTCCAAAGGAATTGAAAGCAGGGCCTTGAACAGTTACCTCTACACCAATGTTCATAGGAGCATGATTCACGATAGCTAAAAGGTGGAGGCAACCAAGTGTCCATCAACAGAGGAATGGATAGACAAGATGTGGTATATCCATATGATAGAATATTATTTAGCCATAAAAAGGAACGAAGTACTGAGACATGCTAGAGTGTGGATAAATCTTGAAAACATTATGCTAAGTAAAAAAAGCTGGACATAGAAGGACAACTACCGTATGAATCCACTTATATGAGATGCCTAGAATAGGCATGTTCACAGAGAGACGGTAGAAGAGAGGGGCTGGGAGGAGGGAAGAATGAGGGTGGTTGTTTCATGGGAACAGAGTTCGTGTTGGGGATGATGAAATGTTTTGGGTACAGATGATGGTGATGGTGACACAACATTGTGAATGTATTTAATGCTACTGAGTTGTACACTTACAAATGGTGAAAATGATAAATATTATGTTGTGTTTATTTCACTACCACAAAAAGGCAGGGAAACAAAAATAACTCCACTCTTCTAACCCAACTGAATTCCTTTTCTATCTGTGTCCATGGTCATATATTTAGTTTATATCACTGTAATTACTATATGAATTATTTTATTTTGTATTTGAACTTTTTCTTTTAACTCCATATATATCATAACTTCCCTCCTGTAGTTGTTATGGTTTTCATGTTTTTAGTGGCTGCAGACTATTTCATTTTATAGCCAGATCACAATGTATATATAGCCCTTCCCTTTTTATGGAATATTTAGGTTATTTCTACTATTTTTATGTTTATAGAAAACTGCTGCCTTTCATGGCCTTCTGTCTGTGGAATCCCTTTAACATCAGGAATCCAGTGGTAGGGAAAGAAGATTCTCAGTTACCTCCCTTTAAGGAGAACCTACTTAAAAATTAATTTTTGAGCAGATAGTACATGCATGTGGTACAAAATTTTTAAAAGTACAAAGGGTTTTACAGTGAAAATGTTCCCCTCTTTTGTCCCCTATCTACTCAACTGGCCTCTTCAGAGGTGACCTTGGTTACTGGGTAAAGAGAGAAAAGTTTTGTAAGCAAGGGCAGAAAAGAGGTCCTGTTATCCAGTTGTTTCTGGGATCTGTGCATTCATATTGCAGCTGGTTCAGTGTGTAGAGGTGAGATGATCCGAGTACAGAACCCAGAGGACTCATTGGGTGATATCACTTCTGACTCCCAGCTCTGAGCGTGGAGGGCATGTGTGCTTTTTCCCTTCGTCACTCCAGCCTCAAATGCTCCCACTTAGTGGCAACTCTATTTCAGTTTTGCTCTTCAGTATGCCTGTCTATGTTATAGAAAGATGTTTGCTTTTGAGGGAGTGATTAAAAAAAACCCTACTTATTGAGATCTAGTACACATACTGAAAAGCACACACATCCTAAGTGCATAGTTTGATGAATCTTCACAAACAATACCCATCTGGTCACTAGCACTCAGATCAAGAAACTGGCCATGATTTCCACCCCAGAAGACCCCCGAAGGGGGCATCTCTATGACAAAAGCAAAAGACCAGAAAATGATAGGATAAGCTGGTAAGTTCATCTGTGTTACAGAAGAGCCAAAATTCTGGAAAGAACCGAGTGTGTGTGTTTCTCACCTAAGTTTTAGAGTTTGCCCTGTGTGAACTCATTTGAGGGTTTGATGGCAAAAGAGCAAGTTCTCTTGTCAGACTCTTTGGAATAAAACTGAACGTTATGATGGTCATTAATAGACTTCCTTTTTTCTTCCTTTCCTCTGACCAGACAACAGTGCAGTGGTTGATATCCGTGTGGTTAATGTCACCACAACCGACATGCAGTTGGAGTGGCGGAATACAGACAGTGTTACTGGGTACATCTACTGTGTAGTGATACAGTCTGAGCACAGCTCTAACCAGACAAATAGTTCTCATGAAGCAATCACTCTCGGGGGCCTGATCCCGGGCACCTTATATAATATCACAATCTTCCCCAAAATGAACAATTCCCAGGGGAACCCCAACTCCACTGCACAGTACACACGTAAGTGTCTTAGAACACCCTCCTAAGGGAGTATTCTCCCTTTCACTTGGAGGATGGGAAGTAAGCATTGGTTAAATGATGGAATAAGAGGCTCTTGTGTTTCTGGGCTCCAGGTAGAATGTGAAACTGTGTAAGCTGAAAACATCGGCCTCAGCAAATGTTCTTCTGTGCTCTTGGAGCACTTGGTGCTGAGCTATATGAACTTGGAATTGTCTTCTGAAGCAGAAAGGGATCCCATAAGCAAGGAAAACATGACTATTCATTCTCTAGTCTGGAATACAGACTAGAGGAGGGTCACCCTGTCATGTTGGCATTGGAAGATGCAGCCCAAATGAGGCGCTTTGCATGCAAAAGTGAGGGAAGTACTTTGGTAATATTTGACCTAAATATATGGTAGAAATGGTAGTTCATAATGCCTTTTTCATATGTTTTTCTCTTTCGTTAATCATATTTCAAAAACAGATAGAAATTATATCTTGAAAATATATTTCAGATAAATTATTAAAAGAAGCCTGAAAAACTTTCATTCTTTTGAGATTTAATCTGTATAATTATTTTCTGAATGTCTTTTTTGGGAAGCGTTCCATCTTTCGAGTCCAGCAAACATTAGCTTAATTTATTCTTTCCCAAAAGGAGCCAGGCTATTTTTATTAAATTAAATTTAATTAATTTTCTGGCTATTTTTACATGCAAATAATGAAATGGTTCAAGCTAATCCGTGCTTTTTTTTTTTTTTAAAAAAAAACTAAGGGCCCAGCAATGTGTCCAACATTGAAGTAAGGACCAACACCACAGCAGCAACCTTAAACTGGCAGAACTTTGATGAAGCCTCTTCCAGGTACACCTACCGCCTTCTTATGGAGCAGGATGGAAATGCCAGCAAGGCCACACAAATAGTCACAGGCGTCGGCATCACCTACGCTACAGTCACCGAGTTAACACCTGGCTCCTCATACACTGTAGAGATCTTCACACAGGTGGGGAATGTCACCGAGTCACTGGCACCTGGCTGGCAGTCATTCTGTACAGGTGAGTAGTCCCACGTGCCTCTTGGACTCCTTCTTATGTGATGTTGGCCTTGCACATAGGTTCTTGAAATAAACTCTAGTTGATTAGCTTTTGTGTGGTGTGTGATAACAGACCCCAAGCTCTCTGAGCATCCTATTAGCTTATTAGTGCTATCTTGCTGCCCGCATCATTTATTCATTCAACAGATATGTATTGAGCATTTACTATATGCCAGGCACTGTTAAAGGACACAGACAAGTCCCTGCCTTTCTGGAACTTTTATTCTGGTAGGGAAGACATAATAAACAAGATAAATAGGTTATCAGTTGATGATTACTAAGGAGGGGGGAATAAACAAGGACGGGGGAAATGAGATGTTTATCTTGGGAAGGCTTCATTGAAAAGGTGACTTTTGAGCAAAGACTTGAAGGGTGTAAAGCAGGCCATGTGAATGTTGGGGCGTAGAGCATTACAGGCAGAGGGGCAGCCAGTGCTGGGGTGCCGAGCCTGGAGCGTGCCTGCTGTAGTGAAGAAAGAGCAGGAGGTCAGGGTGGCAGAGGTGGATCCATGGGAGCAAGAGGGGGAGGGGGAGGAGTTGAGGCCCAAGATGCAAGAGGTGATGGGCCAGGGCATGGATGACGTCCGGGCCCGTGGCTCATAGTTTGGCTTTTACGCTGAAGAAGGCGGAAAGGATATTGTTAAAATGGATGCTCAGCTTTTCTGCCTTTCTTGATCCTGAATGTCTCGATGCAAAAGGTGTGATCTTTTAAAGGGAAGAAGAGCCCTGTGTTTAACTGAGGGAACTTTCAGAGAGTAATCCGGGGAATGTTTTGTGGACGACTGTGAGTACTTCTGCTGACAGTTTTGATCGTGGGGCCTTTATTTTGTTTGTTTGTTTGTTTGTTGTTTTTTGCGGTACGCGGGCCTCTCACTGTTGTGGCCTCTCCCGTTGCGGAGCACAGGCTCCAGATGCGCAGGCTCAGCGGCCATGGCTCACGGGCCCAGCCGCTCCGCAGCACGTGGGATCTTCCCGGACCGGGGCACGAACCCATGTCCCCTGCATTGCAGGCGGACTCTCAACCACTGCGCCACCAGGGAAGCCCGATCGTGGGGCCTTTATCACCTCTGTGTCTGTGTAGCACCCTACTCCCTACCCTCTTTGCACCTGCTTCCTCCCTTCCTTAGACCAAGCCATTCAAATGTGTTTAAGCTGATTTGGAAGGGGAACAGGGGTCTCATCGGATCAGCCTCCCTGGTAGTGTAGGAGCTGGAACCTTGATGACCTCTGAGTTTTCACATGGAGTGGCTAAAGGGATCCCTGCAGCTTTGAGTCCCTTCTGCTAACTCAAGCTTCATTCACCAGGTCTAGACTCTGATCTTTGGTATTTGGGTGGCTTCCATTGCTAATGTTTATCTTAGCTACAATCATTGTAGGCTATAGCAAAAGAAGGATATCTATGAGCCTTTATGAGTGGGGATGGGTGGAACAGGAACAGGGGGAGTAGGTGTGCATTGGGCAGGTTACCTTTCCAGGCCTCAGGTGGAGAATTGCACTAGGGGACTCTCTACAACCTTCTCCTGCTTTAAAACACTGCAACATTAAAGTAATGATAATACTCCTCCCACCCCCGGTACATAAATACAGAGTTTCCCATTTACATCAGTTTTTTGTTGGCCCTCAATAAAACGCTATTGGCCCTCAGATAGGTAGAGACAAATAACACCACATTTTAGAGATGAAGAAACCGATACCGTTTACCATTGATTATTTAGCCTGTTGTATGTGTAGAAAACACGCTGGACTTGGATTTAGAAAACCTGAGATCCAGTTTTGGCTTCGCCACTGACCAGCCATGTCATCTTTAGCAAATTGCTTAATCTCTCTAAGCCTCAGTTGATTCATCTGCAAAATAGGACAATATTAACCCTGCCTCTTCCAGAAGGATTATCAAGTGCGCCCCAAAATGAGGTGACGCAGGCAAAGAAGTTGCTACCGCCTCCACTGTATTGTCGCTACCTCTCATGGAGCCCTGTGCTCTTCCAGCCTGGACCCTGACAGCCACTGTTTCATTTAATCCTGAGACAGCCCTGCAGTTGAGGCTCAGAACGGTTGGGGGACTGACCCAAGGTCACACAGTTCAGTAAGGCCCTATTCAAGGTCAGCCTCTGCCTCTTCTGTCATGCTCCATGGCTGTCTCCTTATCACCAACGGGCCAGGAACCTCCTGCTCCCCAAGTTTCAGTATTTGCAAAGGCAAAAGTGCAAGAATTGGGCTTCCCTGGTGGCGCACATATTTGAATTTTCCTGCCTGCCGATGCAGGGGACGCAGGTTCGTGCCCTGGTCTGGGAAGATCCCACATGCCGCGGAGCGGCTGGGTCCGTGAGCCATGGCCGCTGAGCCTGCACGTCCGGAGCCTGTGCTCTGCAATGGGAGAGGCCACAACAGTGAGAGGCCCGCGTACCGCAAAAAAAACAAAAAAAAGTCCAAGAATCTCATGATGTGCTGTTCTTGCCTTGCAGACCCTGCACCAGTAATCTCCTTCCACTGTGAAGTGGTCCCCAAAGAGCCAACCTTGGTCCTCAAGTGGGCCTGCCCTTTCGGCATCAACACAGGCTTCGAGCTGGAGGTCAGCCACGGAGACTGGGAGAATATGACGAACCTGGAGAGCTGCTCCTCGGAGAACGGCTCTGAGTACAGGACGGAAGTCACATATTTGAATTTTTCTACCTTGTACAACATCACCGTCACTGCCCGGTCCTGTAACAAGACGGCATCGCCCACCCAAAACACCTGCCTCACTGGCATCACAGGTGGGCTTCAGGGAGGGCAGGGTGGCCAGGTGACATTGTGGTCATCTTGGAAAGCTGACCCAGAGGCTCTGCAAGTGTGGCCTAGAAACCTGTTTCTAAAAAAAATTTATCCAAAAATATTTGTTTTTGTTGGCACGGACTGTTAACCCAATTCTACAGAAATCTAGTCTATATATTCTATAGAATCTGTATAATCTATAGAAATCTAGTGAGAGGGAATATTTTACATTCCAAAAGTTTCCTTCGTTTTACAGAATAATTTGTTGCCACCTTTTCTTTTAAGTAAGTTCCCCTAAAATGTTCAAATATACACAAAAGCAAAGGACAGTATAGTGGGATCCACGTACCCATCAGCACTCAGTTGAACATTTGTGAGCATTTGACCAATCTTTTTCATTTATATCCCCTCCTCCCTTATTGGACTTCTTTGAGACCAGTCCTGGTTATTCTATAGTTTTATTTGTAAGTTTTTCAGTATGTATTGCTGAAAGACAGGGACTCCTTTTCCCTTTCTTTCAAACATAACCACATTACTATTGGCATTACCCTTAAAAAATTAACAATACTTTTTTTTTTTGGCCATGCTGCATGGCTTGCAAGATCTCAGTTCCCCGACCAGGGATTGAACCTGGGCCACAGAAGTGAAAGCCCGGAATCCTAACTACTAGGTCACCAGGGCACTCCCAACGATCCTTTTTTTTTTTCTTTCTTTCTTTTTTTTTTTTTACTATTATCAGATAGATATTCAGTCAAGATTCATATTTCCCTAGAATCTGTATTAATAAGCTCCCCAGCTGTTTTGGGAAATGGGATCATTCACAAGAGATTCCCCTAGTTAATCTTTTCATGACCACCTTTTATTTTGAACTTGGAAAAAATTACTTCTTTGCTTTTTTTTTTTAATTGAGATATGGTTGATTTACAATATTATATTAGTTTCAGGTGTACAACATAGTGATTCATGATTTTTATAGATATACTGCTTTTAAAGTTTTTATACGATATTGGCTGTATTCCCTGTGCTGTACAGTATATCTTTGTCACTTATTTCATACATAGTAGTTTGTACCTCTTAACCCCTACCCCTGTCTTGCCCCTCCCCACTCCCCTCTCCCCACTGGTAACCACCAGTTTGTTTTCTTTATCTATGAGTCTGTATCTGTTTTGTTATATTCATTCTTTGTTTCATTTTTATCTGTCTTTCGCTCCCTGTGTCTTTGCCAAAATTATGTCTTAGGTCAACCTGGTGGAGTTGGTTTTGCTTTGTGCTTTTTGAATCCTGGATATACTATTTCCTTTAGGGTATCAGAATGTTTCCAAACAATTTCTAAAGAATTGGTGGTTGAAATAGTAAGAAGAAAAGGCTTCTTACTTCAGGGACACTGACTTGGAAAATGGCTGAGGGATTCTACTGACAGAGCCTTGGACTTAGGCAGACCTGGGTTTGATTGTAAAGTCTACCTTTTACCAGCTGTGTGATCTCAGAAAAGCCGCTTAACCTCTCTGAGCCTTGTTTTTCTCAGTTGTAAAAAAGGGGAAATAATACCTACCTTCCAGGACTGTTAATACAAATTAGATGAGGTAGTGTAGGTGGAAGATCACTTCAGAGCTGCCATGTATGGCTAGTCAAGTTGTGCACTGCATAGTTCCATGGGACACCATTCATATAGTCTGCTGTGCACGTGGGACTCCTTGGAGTTGCGTAGTACACAGCTATATAGGATGGCCCTGGGTCACAATCCTTTGTGTTTCTGCAGCACTCTACAGTGTAATAGAAACAGTGAACCTTGTTGGGTACTTTTTTGTAGTTCTCTGTTTTATGATGTCATCTCAGTGGGTATAAGCCACTGAGGAACAGAAACCATATCTGATCCGGTATCTCCAGGGCTGAGCACAGTACCTAGTGAAGGGAAGGAGCTTGTTAGAGTTAGTTGTTTCTGAAGCTGAGCAGTGTGTGGTAGGGTTAGATAATGACCACTCAGCATTTAGTCCAGTGATCCTCTCACTTTTTAATCTGTAGCTCCCTTTCCTCAGATGAATTTTTATGTACAAATTTAGCAAGCTTTTTAAATGTACAACTTTGATACTTTTTTATTTAACATAAAAGTGGAGCTGCATTTTCTCTGAGAGAGGCAGGAAGTGCTGGTGGGATGCGTAAACCGGGGAGAGTTGGAGCGATGGTCTTTTAGCCAACACTTGTTGAGTGCTTACTGTGTGCCTGGGTAAGGGACACTATGGTGAGCGTGGCTGGCAAGGTCCCTCTAGTGTAGGACTGAGATAAGCAGTGAGAAGGAAAGGATTTCCAGGCTTTGAGGTGGGTGGAGCTGTCGTGGGGCAGGGAGCTGGGGACTCCTCGCTGGCCCGCTAAAAGGTATAGAGCTGTGGACGGGGTGGGAGCTGGTGCTAGGAAGTGTCTGTTGAGGCAGCTGACACTTAGACGATGGACAGCGCCTCCAAGTGGCCACTGCGGTCAGTTACTTGAGAGGTTGCTGAAGGATGGTTTAGAGCTGTGCCTTCCAATAGAAAATCATGTGAGCCTCCTGTATAATAAAAACTTTTCTAGGAGCCACATTAAGAAACTGTAAAAAGGAGCAGCTGGAAATTCCCTGGTGGTTCAGTGGTTAGAACTCTGCTTTCACTTCTGGGGGCCCGGGTTCGATCCCTGGTCGGGGAACTAAGATCCCATAAGCTGGCTGGCATGGCCAGGAAAAAAAAAAAAGGAGGAGCTGAAATGAGTTTTGATCTGAGTTTTGATCACATTTTATTTAACTCAGTATATTAAAAATGTTATCATTCCAACATGTAATTTGTATAAAGTGAGTTATTAATGAGATACTTTATGTCCAAACTTGGGCCTGTCACCTTTCAAGCGCTCAGTGGGTACATGTGGTTAGTGGCTGCCATGTTGGACAGCATACATTTGGAAAATTGTATTATGGTCTTTTTTTTTTTTTTGGAGTTTAGTTTTCTCAGTCTCCCTGCATCTTGATTATAATAACAGAAACACTCAAACTGTATGTGGGAGACCAATTTAGGTAGAGAGAGTGTGGAGAGAGATCATCTTGAATTCACCTTTTCCTTCCTTTCGTGTTAATTTGGAGAGTGGCTTCACAAACTTAGCTTGGGGAAGGCGAGGCACAGGGTCATGAAGGCCACTCACGGAATGTTCCCGTGTGGGCTTTTCTGGTTTCCGGGAAGAGGGTCAGTTGGATTTCTCTAGGCAAAGTTTAAACCTACCCCAGCAAAAATCAAGGACTTCGGTGTGAAGGGTGCAGAGCCGGCATGCAGCCAGGTGTCAGGAGAAAGTATGTTCTCTCCATGTCATCTTTGCTTCCTTCTGGGTAACTATCTGCTTCATCATTGCTCTCTGACCAGCCAGTCCTGGGGCCAAGTCCATGTGCTGACAGATGCTGACAGTCTGCTTTCAGCTCCCAAGTTCTCACCTTGGAGTTCTACCCACGCAGTCTCTGTCTTGTTCTCCTTCTTCTGCCCCCATTCTCAAAATAAGGAATCTGGGCTATCTGGGTCAGGAGGAACTGGGGGAAGATAGAAAAGGCACGTTATCTTCTACAAACAAGGCTGCCAGGAGGCCACCCTGGCAATGTGGCTGGACCCAGTGAAGGGGTCATTGTCAGCCGGGCAGGCTCCCCAAGGACTTGCCATCTTTGTTCCCCACCAGTTCCCATCCCTGCCCTTTGCTTCTAGATTTGCTTGGCATGAGCCCAGCACACAGCTTCCAGAGCAAGGGCAGAACTTGAGTGGGGCACTGCAGCAAATCCTCTCCTTCATAATTTTGTTCCTTCTGTGGTTTTAAATGTTGGGTGATCATATTTTCTTTTGTTCTGTTTCAGACCCTCCTTCTCCAGATGGATCCCCTAATATTACATCTGTCAGTCACAATTCTGTGAAGGTCAAATTCAGTGGATTTGAAGCCAGCCACGGACCCATCAAAGCCTACGCTCTCATTCTCACCACTGGGGACGGTAAGGAGGGGTCATTATGGGTTAAACAGCCAGTGGGTGATGGCGTGACTGGGTACCATTTTTGTGCCCACTGAAACGCATTCATGAGACAAACACACATCTGGTTTTATACTGCGACCCACGCTTTGGCACTCGCCCCGGGGTGGGTGGGTGTAAGCCATTTGCCTGATGAGCTAGGTCAGAGGTTGACAGACTTAGTGTAAAGGGCCAGATAGCAAACATTCTAAGTTTTGCAGGTCCTACAGTCTCCTTCTCAGCTATTCAACTTTGCCGTTGTAGTGTGAAAGCAGCCATAGAAGATACAGAAGGAGTCAGTATGACTGTTCTAGTATTTACCAAAAGGGGTGGCTGGCTGGATTTGGCCCATGGCCATGACTTTCTTACCTCTGATCTACGTTTTTCATCTCTTTTGCAGCACAGGGTCTTTTAGGTGGCAGAATATTAGTTTTAACCAAGTTTGTCACACACACACACACACACACACACACACACACATATGAACACGCACGCACAAATCATCCTCAAAGGGTGACTTTCTCTTGGAAGAAAAAAGGAAAAGATTTGCATTTGTAGTGGGAACTTGCAAAGAGCATTGTCATAGCTGAGAGAGGAGGTGGATTAAACGCTGCTTTTCCTTAAAGGGCTCCATTACATTCCCTGGAAGTGAGACGGGAATGATTTGAGGGTGTCTTTGTTAGCTGTGTGTGGGTGCTTTGCCCAAGGTCTGGGTTTAAAGCGGTGAGTTTTGGAAATTCCCTGGCAGTCCAGTGGTTAGGACTCGGTGCTTTCAATACTAGGGGCCCGGGTTCAATCCCCGGTCGGGGAAATAAGATCCCGCAAGCCGTGCGGTGAGGCCAAAACAATAAAAAAGTGCAGAGTTTTGCTGTTCTTGGTGATTCTTTAACTCTGAATTATGCAGTGCCCCCCTTGCCCAGTCTCACAGCCTGTGATGCTGTCCTCATCTCCCCAAAGAAGACAGAGCTCAAACACACTGTCAGGGCTGCGGGAATCCAGGAAGACAAGGGATTTGCTGGTGCTGAAAACCTGCAGCTAAATCTCAAAAAGAGACATTGAGATCTCTCTCTCTCTCTCTCTCTCTCTCTCTTTCTATCTTTTGTTTTGGGTCTGTTTCAAACACCTAGTCATTTTGCTGTGAAGGTATTCAGCAAATCCCAAGCTCAGACCTTTGCTGAACAGGGGAGATGATATTGCACACTGACCAGGCTGACCAGTACCAGCCTGTGATGGATGAGATCACACCCTCCGCGTCAGGTGGTCTGGGTTAGAAATACGACTTTACCACGTAGGCAGTGCAGCTTGGGGCCCAGGTCTTTTTACCTTTCTGTGTCTCATTTTCCCACCTGTAAAGTGGGGGTGGTAAGCCTATGCGATGAGATTATTGTGGGGATTAAATGAGTTAATGTAAGTAAAGCCCTTAGAACTTAATATAAGGAAAACCTGGCAGAGAGAGCATACGTGAGAGATGGCAGCTGTCACCACCATCACCCTGGTCATTATTTAGAAACGAGGGAGACTTAAATCTCTGCAATCACTTTCTTATGGCTTTCCTTCCGTGTGCCTTTCTTAGCTGTTCATCCGTCAGCAGATGTATTGAGATATACGTACGAAGATTTCAAAAAGGGGGCCTCGGATACCTATGTGACATACCTCATAACAACAGAAGAAAAGAGCTGTTCTCAGGGCTTATCTGAAGTCTTGAAATACGAAATCAATGTTGGGAACGAGTCCACCACGCACGGCTATTACAACGGGAAGCTGGAACCTCTGGGTTCCTATCGGTAATGCCTTGTGGTTTTTGCCCTTTGGGGGCTGGGCCTCTGAGTGCAAAACTATATGTGCCTGGGCCATCAGACACTTCTCAGCCACCCCTCTTTCCTCTTGTCACCCCACAGGGCTTCTGTGGCTGGCTTCACCAATATTACCTTCAACCCTAACAGTGATGGACTCATAGATGGGGCTGAGAGCTACGTGTCCTTCAGTCGCTACTCAGATGCTGTTTTCTTGCCCCAGGATCCAGGTAGAAGAGCATCTTAGCAATGCATTGACTTTTTGCTTCCAGTATCCACAGGAGCATGGGGGTCTACACACCTCCCTGGGGCCCCCAGGAGGGTAGGAGAGCCTGGTCTGTCCTCTCAGAAGCTGAGATGTCACTGGGCCATCAGGACCCAGCTCAGCTTCCTCTTCTGAGGTCCCCACAGGCCCCGCCCACCACACTCCCTTCTCTGAAATCCAGTTACACTTCCAATCAGCAAACACTGTTTGGTCCTTTTTTCTCAGTGTAGTCATTTGTGTGCCCATGTACCAGGCACACATGTGACTTTTAGGGTATGGAACCCTTGAATATTAGGATCACAAGGAGCCATGGGAATCATCTTGTCCAACTCCCATTTTATTTTATTTTATTTTTAAATAGTTGATTGAGAGAGAGCAGACAGCAGAAGCAAGAAGATCTACAATCCCACAGCCTGTGGAACAAAAACCACATTCACAGAAAGAGAGACAAAGTGAAAAGGCAGGGGGCTATGTACCAGATGATGGAACAAGATAAAACCCCATAAAAACAACTAAATGAAGTGGAGATAGGCAACCTTCCAGAAAAAGAACTCAGAATAATGATAGTGAAGATGATCCAGGACCTCGGAAAAAGAATGGAGGCAAAGATCGAGAAGATGCAAGAAATGTTTAACAAAGACCTAGAAGAATTAAAGAACAAACAAACAGACATGAACAATACAATAACTGAAATGAAAACTACACTAGAAGGAATCAACAGCAGAATAACTGAGGCAGAAGAACAGATAAGTGACCTGGAAGACAGAATGGTGGAATTCACTGCTGCAGAACAGAATAAAGAAAAAAGAATGAAAAGAAATGAAGACAGCCTAAGGGACCTCTGGGACAACATTAAATGCAACAACATTCGCATTATAGGGGTCCCAGAAGGAGAAGAGAGAGAAAAAGGACCAGAGAAAATATTTGAAGAGATTATCGTCAGAAACTTCCCTAACATGGGAAAGGAAATAGCCACCCAAGTCCAGGAAGCGCAGAGTCCCATACAGGATAAACCCAAGGGGAAACATGCCAAGACACATAGTAATCAAATTGGCAAAAATTAAAGACAAAGAAAAATATTGAAAGCAGCAAGGGAAAAACGACAAATAACATACAAGGGAACTCCCATAAGGTTAGCAGCTGATTTGTCAGCAGAAACTCTACAAGCCAGAAGGGTGTGGCATGATAAAGTGATGAAAGGGAAGAACCTACAACCAAGATTACTCTACCCAGCAAGGATCTCATTCAGATTCAATGGAGAAATCAAAAGCTTTACAGACAAGCAAAAGCTAAGAGAATTCAGCACCACAAGACCAGCTCTACAACAAATGCTAAAGGAACTTCTCTAAGTGGGAGACAGAAGAGAAGAAAAGGACCTACAAAAACAAACCGAAAACAATTGAGAAAATGGTCATAGGAACATTCATATTGATAATTACCTCAAACATGAATGTGTTAAATGCTCCAACCAAAAGACACAGGCTTGCTGAATGGATACAAAAACAAGACCCATATATATGCTGTCTACAAGAGACCCACTTCAGACCTAGGGACACATTCAGACTGAAAGTGAGGGGATGGAAAAAGATATTCCATGCAAATGGAAATCAGAAGAAAGCTGGAGTAGCAATACTCATATCAGATAAAATAGACTTTAAAATAAAGAATGTTACAAGAGACAAGGAAGGACACTATATAATGATCAAGGGATCAATCCAAGAAGAAGATATAACAATTATAAATATATATGCAGCCAACATAGGAACACCTCAATACATAAGGCAACTGCTAACAGCTATAAAAGAGGAAATCGACAGTAACACAATAATAGTGGGGGACTTTAACACCTCACTTAACACCAATAGACAGATCATCCAAAATGAAAATAAATAAGGAAACAGAAGCTTAAAATGACACAATAGACCTGATAGACTTAATTGATATTTATAGGACATTCCATCCCAAAACAGCAGATTACACTTTCTTCTCAAGTGTGCATGGAATATTCTCTAGGATAGATCACATCTTGGGTCACAAATTAAGCCTCAGTAAATTTACGAAAATTGAAATCATATCAAGCATCTTTTCTGACCACACGCTATGAGATTAGAAATGAATTACAGGGAAAATAACATAAAAAACACAAACACATGGAGGCTAAACAATACGTTACTAAATAACCAAGAGATCACTGAAGAAATCAAAGAGGAAATCAAAAAATACCTAGAGACAAATGACAATGAGAACACGACGATCCGAAACCTATGGGATGCAGCAAAAGCAGTTCTAAGAGAGAAGTTTATAGCTATACAAGCCTACCTCAAGAAACAAGAAAAATCTCAAATAAACAATCTAACCTTACACTTAAAGGAACTAGAGAAAGAAGAACAAACAAAACCCAAAGTTAGCAGAAGGAAAGAAATCATAAAGATCAGAGCAGAAATAAATGAAATAGAAACAAAGAAAACAGTAGCAAAGATCAGTAAAACTAAAAGCTGCTTCTTTGAGAAGATAAAAAAATTGATAAACCATTAGCCAGACTCATCAAGAAAAAGAGGGAGAGGACTCAAATCAATAAAATTAGAAATGAAAAAGGAGAAGTTACAACGGACACTGTAGAAATACAAAGCATCCTAAGAGACTACTACAAGCAACTCCATGCCGATAAAATGGACAACCTGGAAGAAATGGACAAATTCTTAGAAAGGTATAAACTTCCAAGACTGAACCAGGAAGAAATACAAAATATGGACAGACCAATCACAAGCACTGAAATTGAAACTGTGATTAAAAATCTTCCAACAAACAAAAGCCCAGGACCAGATGGCTTCACTGGTGAATTCTATCAAACATTTAGAGAAGACCTAACACCCATCCTTCTCAAACTCTTCCAAAATATTGCAGAGGAAGGAACACTCCTAAACTCATTCTATGAGGCCACCATCACCCTGATACCAAAACGAGACCAAGATACTACAAAAAAAGAAAATTACAGACCAACATCACTGATGAATATAGATGCAAAAATCCTCAACAAAATACTAGCAAACAGAATCCAACAACACATTAAAAGGATCATACACCATGATGAAGTGGGATTTATCCCAGGGATGCAAGGATTCTTCAATATATGCAAATCAAGCAATGTGATACACCATATCAACAAATTGAAGAATAAAAACCATATGATCATCTCAATAGATGCAGAAAGCTTTTGGCAAAATTCAACACCGATTTATGATAAAAACTCTCCAGAAAGTGGGCATAGAGGGAGCCTACCTCAACATAATAGAGGCCATATATGACAAACCCACAGCAAACATCGTTCTCAATGGTGAAAAACTGAAAGCATTTCCTCTAAGATCAGGAAGAAGAAAGGGATGTCCACTCTCACCACTATTATTCAACATAGTTTTGGAAGTCCTAGCCACAGCAATTAGAGAAGAAAAAGAAATAAAAGGAATCCAAATTGGAAAAGAAGTAAAGTTGACACTGTTTGCAGATGATATGATATTATACATACAGAATCCTAAAGATGCTACCAGAAAACTACTAGAGCTAATCAATGAATTTGGTAAAGTACTAGGATACAAAATTAATGCACAGAAATCTCTTGCATTCCTGTACACTAATGATGAAAAATCTGAAAGAGAAATTCAGGAAACACTCCCATTTACCACTGCAACGAGAAGAATAAAATAACCTAGGAATAAACCTACCTAGGGAGACAAAAGACCTGTATGCAGGAAACTATAAGACACTGATGAAAGAAATTAAAGATGATACCAACAGATGGAGAGACATACCATGTTCTTGGATTGGAAGAATCAGTATTGTGAAAATGATTTTACTATACTACCCAAAGCAATCTACAGATTCAATGCAATCCCTATCAGATTACCAATGGCATTTTATATGGAACTAGAACAAAAAATTTTAAATTTGTATGGAGACACAAAAGACCCCGAATAGCCAAAGCAGTCTTGAGGGAAAAAAACGGAGCTGGAGGAATCAGACTCCCTGACTTCAGACTATACTACAAAGCTACAGTAATCAAGAGAATATGGTACTGGCACAAAAACAGAAACATAAATCAATGGAACAAGATAGAAAGCCCAGAGGTAAACCCACGCACCTATGGTCAACTAATCTATGACAAAGGAGGCAAGGATATACAATGGAGAAAAGAGGATATACAATGGAGAAAAGACAGTCTCTTCAATAAGTGGTGCTGGGAAAACTGGACAGCTACGTGTAAAAGAATGAAATTAGAACACTTCCTAACACCATACACAAAAATAAACTCAAAATGGATTAGAGACCTAAATGTAAGACCGGACACTATAAAACTCTTAGAGGAAAACATAGGAAGAACACTCTTTGACATGAATCACAGCAAGATCTTTTTTGATCCACCTCCTAGAGTAATGGAAATAAAAACAAAAATAAACAAATGGGCCCTAATGAAACTTAAAAGCTTTTGCACAGCAAAGGAAACCATAAACAAGACGGAAAGACAACCCTCAGAATGGGAGAAAATATTTGCAAATGAATCAACGGACAAAGGATTAATCTCCAAAATATATAAACAGCTCAAGCAGCTCAATATTAAAGAAACAAACAACCCAATCCAAAAATGGGCAGAAGAACTAAATAGACATTTCACCAAAGAAGACATACAGATGGGCAAGAAGCACATGAAAAGCTGCTCAACATCACTAATTAGAGAAATGCAAATCAAAGCTACAATGAGGTATCACCTCACACCAGTTAGAATGGGCATCATCAGAAAATCTACAAACAACAAATGCTGGAGAAGGTGTGGAGAAAAGGGAACCCTCTTGCACTGTTGATGGGAATGTAAATTGATACAGCCACTGTGGAGAACAGTATGGAGGTTCCTTTAAAAACTAAAAATAGAATTACCGTTTGACCCAGCAATCCCACTATTGGGCATATACCCAGAGAAAACCATAATTGAAAATGACACATGCACCCCAATGTTCATTGCAGCACTATTCACAATAGCCAGGTCATGGATGCAACCTAAATGTCCACCGACAGACGAATGAATAAAGAAGATGTGGTACATATATACAATGGAATATTACTCAGCCATAAAAAGGAACGATATTGGGTCATTTGTTGAGACGTGGATGGATCTAGAGACTGTCATACAGAGTGAAGTAAGTCAAAAAGAGAAAAACAAATATCGTATATTAACACATATATGTGGAACCTAGAAAAATGGTACAGATGAACCAGTTTGCAGGGCAGAAAATGAGACATAGATGTAGAGAACAAATGTATGGACACCAAGCGGGGAAAGCGGTGGGGGGATGGTGGTGGTGGTGTGATGAATTGGGCGATTGGGATTGACATGTATACACTGATGTGTGTAAAATTGATGACTAATAAGAACCTGCTGTGTAAAAAAATAAATAAAATAAAATTCAAAAAAAATTTATTGAAATACAGTTGATTTACAATGTTGTGTTAGTTTCTGGTACACAGCCAAGTGATTCCGTTATACACATATATATTCTTTTTCATATTCTTTTCCATTATGGTTTATCACAGGGTATTGAATATAGTTCTCTGTGCTCTACAGTAGGACCTTGTTGTTTATCCATCCTATATGTAATAGTTTTCATCTGCTAATCCCAAACTCCCAGTCCTTCCCTCCCCCACCCTCCCTCCCCGTTGGCAACCACAAGTCTGTTCTCTGAGTCTGTGAGTCTGTTTCTATTTCGTAGATAGGTTCATTTTTGTCATATTTTCGATTCCACATAAAAGTGATATCATATGGCATGTCTTCCTCTTTCTGACTGACTTCACTTTAGTATGATCTTCTCTAGTTGTCTGTGAACACCTCTTGAAGTGGTTCCCATTTGGACTTTTCCCAGGTGTCATCTGTGGAGCAGTGTTTGGATGTATCTTTGGTGCCTTGGTTATTGTGGCCGTAGGAGGCTTCCTCTTCTGGAGAAAGAAAAGGTGACTATTGCTTATGTTAACAATAATATCCTACTTTTTTTTTTTTAGTTTTGTTTTTGTTTTTTTTGTTTTTTTTTTTTTGCAGTACGTGGGCCTCTCACTGTTGTGGCCTCTCCCATTGCGGAGCACAGGCTCCAGACGCGCAGTCTCAGTGGCCATGGTTCACGGGCCCAGCCACTCCGTGGCATGTGGGATCTTCCCGGACCGGGGCATGAACCCGTGTCCCCTGCATTGGCAGGCTGACTCTCAACCACTGAGCCACCAGGGAAGCCCAATAATATCCTACTTTTAAAGGGACCTTTGTATTGTGGGTAACCAGACAGTCACACAGATGGAAGGGATAGTATAGTGAGCCCCCAGGTCCCCATCATCCAGAGTCTTCACTGTCCGGCCCGTCTTATTTCATCTCAGTCTCTGAGCTGGAGGGTTTTCTTTTATTTATTTATTTATTAAAAAAAATTTTTTTTAAGCATTTATTATTTTTTTTAATATATTTATTTATTTGGTTGCACCGGGTCTTAGTTGTGGCAGGCGGGCTCCTTAGTTGTGGCTTCAGGGCACCTTAGTTGTGGCATGCATGTGGGATCTAGTTTCCTGACCGGGAGTTGAACCCAGGCCCCCTGCATTGGGAGCTCAGAGTCTTAACCACTGGACCACTCGGGAAGTCCCTGTGAGCTGGAGGGTTTTAAAGCATTAGGTCATGGTAAACACTGCAACAGAAGGGGCTGCTTTCAAACAGGCATTCTAGTTCACAAACCAGACTGTTAAGAGATGGCGTTTTAGAGTCAGCTAAGTTTGAACACACGCTCTGTCTCTGACTGGTGGTTAGGGAGCTTGGATTTAAGGTCTTGGATAATGTATGATACAGGGATGATAACAGTGCCTAACTCGTGCCGCCTAGGAGCATTAAATAAAAAAAAGTGCTTTGACAGTATCTTATACCTCTTATGCTATTATTATTTTATCTGTACAGTTACTCTTTGGGGTAGTTAAATAGTAAAAATAGCAACTCTGTCTTGAGCACTTACTGTGTGCCTGGACTTGTGCTTTTCATGAATTCTCTCATACATGAGGCCCTATGAGGCAGGTCTCCCAAGCCCCATTGCAAGGATGCAGAAGCTGAGTGTAGGAAGTGTGGAAATGGACTTGGACCTGGTCTTTGCTTTTCATTGCACACCCTCCTGCCTGACCATGCAGGATGTGAAGCCTGTGTATCAGCTGGGATTTAGTCACTGTTATCGGATGCTGCCAGCCAGGGGATTTCATCCTGGCCCAGGGTTTCTAATGCATCCTACACCTGGTCTTCTGCCACCGCCTTGCTCTCGTGGGTTGAGAGGCAGTGCCCGTATTACATCTTTTTGCATTAGATTCTGATTTTTTTTTCGAGGGAGGGGTCAAAAACAGCTTTATTGTTTCTTATTAAAAGGAAAGTTTTACATATTTATGGCAAAGAGTTAAAAAACAGAAAAGAAGGGCAAAGAAAAGAAATAAGCCATAATCACACCCATACAAAACTACTCAACATCGATGTGATTACAAAACTCACACAAATACACACACACATCCCCACAAACAGAATCATATTATACATATCGTTTTCTGGCCTGCTTTGTTCACAAGACATTGTGGACGGCTTCAGATCTTCTTCATTTTAAGTGGCTGTTGAGTATTCAGCTGTATAGAAATTATTCACCAAATTCCTGATGTTTTCAGGTATTTTGTTAGTTTGTTTGTTTGCCACAGTTGCTTATCCTTGTGTGTAAATCTGGGCATATTCATGATTGCTCCCTTAGGCTAAATTCCAAGCTGGGAAATTGCTGGGTCAGGGGGTATGCATGTTATCAATTTTGATACGTGCTGCGAAATTGCCTTCCAGAAAGTTTTTTTCTTTTAACGCCAGCATGGGGTTTAGCCAGCAGTACAGAAGAGGGCCAGGTGCCCGACCACCTTGCCGACACTGGGTGTATTTTCTGGTTTATTACATTAACTTTATCAGAAAGGCTTTCTCAACGCCAAAACCAAAACCAAAGCCAAACGAATAACAAACCAAGAAAACAAAAACCAGAGCACTAAAGAACGAGTGTGGCTTTACGCTAGAGTGGTGCTGCCGGTATGTACCCAGAGGAACTCCTACACATTGCTTCAGTAAGATTCTTCAATACTTTAAGATGGTATAAAAGAGAGTAACTTGGGCTTCCCTGGTGGCGCAATGGTTGAGGGTCCGCCTGCCGATGCAGGGGACATGGGTTCGTGCCCCCGTCCGGGAAGATCCCACATGCCGCGGAGCGGCTGGGCCCGTGAGCCATGGCCGCTGACCTGCGCGTCCGGAGCCTGTGCTCCGCAACGGGAGAGGCCCCAACGGTGAGAGGCCCGCGTACCGCTCAAAAAAAAAAAAAAAAAAAAGAGAGAGAGTAACTTCACAGGCTTATACTCAGCATTTGCTGCTTAGACCGTTAAGTCTAGTATTTGTGAGCACGAAGTAATGCTGTGTATGAACTAATGCTGAGCGAAAAGGCATTTTGTAGATACACAAAGGGGACAAAGCACAGAATTAAGCCGTTTTGATCTAATGGGTCTTTCTTTTTCTTTCAAAACAGGAAAGATGCCAAGAACAATGACGTGTCCTTTTCTCAAATTAAGTAAGTCTCCAGAGTTGTGCACCTTCATACATTTAACCCCTCAATCTGTTCAGTGCCTATTTTGAGGTTTTTGTTTGTTTGTTTGTTTGTTTTTTGATGGAAACTGCTGCCACTTTTCGACAGGTTTGGACCTAATCCTCCGGAAGTCCTTATTAGCCTTGTTATTCTGCACGGAACCTATGTTTCCTAGTCTCCTGAAGCTAGCTTCCTTGCCGTGTTGTACAATGGCAAGGGGAACCATACTTTTGCCATATAGTCTACCAACAAATATATATTTTGTGATTCAAAAAAGCTTGTGAAGATCTAGGAGGAGAGAACTTGCTCAAAGTCACAAAACCAATCAGTTCTATGACAGGGTCTAGAAGTCAGATTTCCTGATTCATATTTCATTGTTTTGTAAATAACATTATAGTGCCACCACCTGCCACCGCCCGCCCGCCCGCCTCTTGTACTACAGGTTTTCTTTGGGAAGATGTTTACTATCATCTCCAGAGTCATGGTTGAGTCATTTTTTTCTAACTGCTTATTTTATTTCTTTCCTTTTCTATGATGAAGACCTAAAAAGTGAGTAAACTCTCCACTTCTTAAAAAAATAACTTGTATTTTTCTATTTTGAGTGTGAACTTGGTTGAATGCAAAAAATCCTGTTTTGTTTTCCTAGATCCAAGTTAATCAAAGTGGAGAATTTTGAGGCCTACTTTAAGAAACAGCAAGCTGACTCCAACTGTGGATTTGCAGAAGAATATGAAGTATGTGGCTGTAGATGTTGTGTTTTTAATTGCTCTACGTTTTTGCTGAAAGTTGGAAAACTGCCTGTTTCCGTTTTATGGTGAAGCTTTGGGTGAGAGGCAGCCCTCTTTGAGGGGAGAGAGAAGCTCTTGCATGTCCCCTGGGGGCCCCTCTGAAACCTCTTGGGGAGGATCCCTCCTTGTTTCATCCAGCTTCTGGAAGCCCCAAGCATTCTTGACTTGTGGCCATATAACATCCATCTTCACATGTCTCCCTTGTGTGTCTGTATCTCAGTGTCTTTTCTCCTCTTATAAAGACACCAGTGATATTGCACTAAGGGCCCTGCCCTACTGCAGTATGACCTCGTCTTATCTTGAGTACATCTGCAAAAGCTGTATTTTCAACTCAGATTTCATTCACAGGTACCAGAGGTTAGAACTTCTGCATATCTATTTGAGGGACACAATGTTACCCATAACATCTCTGCATTCCCACTTTGTTCTTTCGTACTCTCTGAGTAGTATAACTAACATTTGAACACTGAATAAATGAACAACTCATATGTTCTGTTTTTAGGATCTGAAGCTTGTTGGAATTAGTCTACCTAAGTACGCAGCTGAACTGGCTGAGAATAGAGGAAAAAATCGCTATAACAATGTTCTACCCTGTAAGTTGTTTTTTCCACATTACTTTCCCTTTTTTCCATCATTGGCATCACATCTCTTAACAGTAGAGGGGAGAAGAATCCAAATACGAACTAACCACTTCCATAGCCATTCCTTAGTCACCTTCTGTGTGCTGAGCACGGTGTTCAGGCATATGCCATTGAATTCAGTCCTCACAGTAGCCTTATGAAATAGGTAGTAGATGAGGACAATGAGGCACAGAGTGGCTAGGTGATCTGCCCAGAGTCACACAGATAGTCATGATGGGACCAGACTTGGACCGAGTCTGTCAATTTCATTCAGGGAAAAGGCCAGAGTCTGCGCTTTGAACCCCTTTATTCCCACAGCTCTTTTATTTCCGTTAGTATAGTCCTGGAATGAAAGGGAGCAGGGCGAGGGCAGGCAGGGAGTAATGCTTTCTGTTTGTCCAGACACGTCTCTGGTTGGCCGAGTACATTCCACGGCTAAATATGAATTACATTTGGGTTCATTCCTGTCTTTTTTTGTTGTTTTTTTAAATTGTCTGTTTTACTTGAAGTTGTGTTTTTCTTTCCTGGCCTGAAATGTTAACTTCTGTTTAGATTCAGGATTTTCTAGCTCCTCCCTTCGTTCTCTTCATTCCTCGCCGCCCCTCCAGCACTTATATTGACAGCAGACATTGACTCATGCGTGTGCTGAGAGACAGGCTTTTAAAACTAGGCTGTCGGGATCTGCCTCAGCTCTGCGCTTTGAGGGTTAACACAGGATTATTGGCCCGTTCTTGTGGATGTCTGTGGAGATTTTCAGATCCAGAGTTTGGCTGTTGTTTTTATTGGGAAGATTTTAGGCTGACACTCATGTTGGTAACTGGGTTTAGAATTGTTGTTATTTTGTTCAGGGGAGGGTGAGATAGTGGATAGTCAAAGACAGGGAAACATAGGAGCTGCTGCTTATAGCTCAGGCTGATAGTTGAGATTTTAAGGATATTATTTCATTTCTGGAGTTGGACAATTTTGCGTGTGTGTTTTTTGAGATGACAGTATATAGGAAACATGAGAATTTTATGCTTTACGTCCTTCCACTTATAGTAGTCTTTTTTTAAAAAATTGAAGTATAGTTGATTTACAATGTTCTGTTAATTTCTGCTGTACAGCAAAGTGATTCCATTATATATATATATATATATATATATATATATATATATATACACACACACACACATTTTTTCATATTTTTCCATTATGGTTTATTATAGGATATTGAATATAGTTCAGTATAACTGTGTTATACAGAACCATGTTGTTTATCTGTTTAAATCTGCTAATCCCAAACTCCTAATTTATCCCCCCACTCCCTTTCCCCTTTGATAACTATATGTTTGTTTTCTATGCCTGTGAGTCTGTTTCAGTTTTGTAAATAAGTTCATTTGTGTCATATCTTAGATTCCACATATACCACTTATAATAGTCTTATACATTCAGTTTATTCTTGCATTTGGGACTTTTTATAACAACTTTTTTTTTATGAGAATAGAGAAAGTGTGAAGGTCTTAACTGAATATCTACCCTGCTATACTGGAAAGGGCACTGGATTTGAATTCTGACTGCCATTCGCCAGATGAAAGTGCTTGGAAAAATCTCTTAATCTCTCTGACCCTCAGTTTCCTCCTCTTTAAAATGGGCGCAGAAGCTTGTAGTGTGGTTATAAGGGATAAATAACATTGCTGAGGGCCTTCCCTGGCTCATGGCACTCACCCAAGAATGGTAATAGTTGGTTTTGCCTGAGAAGGCGGTCTGGAGTGGTTAAGACCTTGGGACCTGTTGCCAGGCTGCCCGGGTTCTAACTGTGGCTCTGCCACTGACTAGCTCTGCCCAGGTGATCATGTAACTTCTCTGTGCCATAGTCACATCTGGTGACTGTGGGAATGAAATAAGGTCGTGGATGTAAAACGCCAAGCCATGCAGCTTCAAGGTGTGATGGAGCCCCTGCGTTGCCACACACAAGGTTGGGTTCTGCACCCATTTCTCGCATTGGAACAGGTTATGATGCAAACGAAAGGCCATTGCTTATGAATGCAAATAAACTTTACGGTGCTGTTGAGCCCAGGGCCTCACACATGGGACATTCTCCTGAATATCTGTTAGATAAGTGAAAACGACAGTTTTTTCTCTTGTATTCAACTCACCTCACACCTTTGCTTCTATTCTAACATGGAACTTTTTTCTTTGAATGTCACAGACGATATTTCCCGTGTCAAACTTTCAGTCCATGCCCATTCAGCTGACGACTACATCAATGCCAACTACATGCCTGTAAGTGGAGAGCGGGGCCCATAGTGCTGGCTGGTTAGGAGGAGATCCTCCTGCTGTCCTCTTGCTGTCTCTTTGAGGTTGAATATGTACTGCTTTCCATTTTTAGGGCTACCATTCCAAGAAAGAATTTATTGCCACACAAGGACCTTTACCCAACACTTTGAAAGATTTTTGGCGTATGGTTTGGGAGAAAAATGTCTATGCCATTGTCATGCTGACCAAATGTGTTGAGCAGGGAAGGGTAAGTATCTTTTATTTTTATTATTATTCAGTTCAATTCGTTCATTCATATTTACTGTGGTGGGAGGGTATCTTAAAAATGATTTGTCTTTTTTTAAAAAAACACTCCCCCAAATATTAGCACCTCTGTTCTTAGAAGTGTGTTTTCTGACTTTTTCTCCTCTAAGAGAAAAGTTCTAGAAAAACATTAAAAAATTCTATGTTATCATTACCTTCCTTTGTGGACAGAGAGCAATGTTCTCTATTCATTAAGTCACTGCTGCTGGCATTAATGAACAGCAGGGGTTGGGTTAGTGAGGCGGAAGAAGTCATGTGCAGCTCCGTTGTTCATCAGCTCTGTGGATGAGTGCAAGCCCGACCTGCCTCCGAGCAACCAGCTGCACCTGTGAGATGACCAGTTGGACCAACTCAGTGATTTTCAAACTTACTCTATAGCATTGGGACCCTTTCTTTATGCAAAATTTCTGATGTATCCCCAGAGAAGTCTCAGCAGTTCCCTGTCCCTTCTGATGGCCTGGAATCCTCCCAGCCACTTCCATTAAAGATAAGATTTCTTCTAGTAATAAAATCCCATCTTTCCATAAGTGGACCAAGGAGAATTGAAAAACATGGGCTAAATTCAGAAAGGCTGTGCCTGAGGAATAGGACCTAATGTGCTTTGTGAATTTTTTCATGAAGGTTTGTTACTTAAAGAATAGGATAGGAGTCAAGTCCCTTTTCTTTTTGGGCCATGCTAGTTCCCCAACCAGGAGATCGAACCTGTGCCCCCCTGCATTGGAAAGGCAGAATCTTAACCACTGGACCACCAGGGAAGTCCCAAGGAGTCAAGTCCCTAAGCCAGTGGTTCTGAAACTTTAACGTGCATCAGAGTCACCTGCAGGGTGGCTCCGCCTCCAGAGTTTCTAATTTAGAGGGTCTGTGCTGGACCTCCGAGTTGCATTTCTGACAATTCCCGCTGCTGCCGCTCCAGGGTGCATGCTTTGAGTAACAGTATCCCGGAGATAGTGCCAACCTGTCAGGCATCATTTCTTTTTTTCTTCTTTCTTTTTTTAATAGTAGAGCTTTTATTTATTTATTTAATTTTTGGCTGCCTTGAGTCTTCGTTGCTGCACTCAGGCTTTCTCTAGTTGTGGCGAGCGGGCTCTAGAGCCCAGGCTCAATAGTTGTGACGCACGGACATAGTTGCTCCGCGGCATGTGAGATCTTCCCAGACCAGGGCTCGAACCCGTGTCCCCTGCATTGGCAGACGGATTCTTAACCACTGTGCCACCAGGGAAGTCCCTGGGCATCATTTCTTTTAATGTTCTGTTCTTTCACTTTAATTTAGCAGATGTTTATCCAGCCCCAAGTATGTGTAAGGTCCTGTGTTAGGGGCTGGGGTTGGAGGAAGGAAAGGTAACAAAGAACAGTTAAGAGGTGGTTCCCTTCATATTATGTGTGACACAGAAGGTTGGGTTCTGCACCCATTTCTCGCATTAGAACAGGTTATTATGCAAACAAAAGGCCATTGCTTATGAATGCAAATAAACTTTATGGTGCTGTTGAGCCCAGGGCCTCACACATGGGACATTCTCCTAAATATCTGTTAGATAAGTGAAAACGACATAGTTAAATTAACGAAGAACAAGAAGATGAATTTAACGGGTCCTTGTTCATCATCAGGCGGGAGAGAAGTGGATGTTACTGACCCTGGGTGACAGGGGAAGAGAGCCAGTGTATTTTCTGCACTGGATTCTCCATATATGTTATTTTTTCCTATAACAACCCTGTGAGGTGTTATTATTTTATAGATGGGGAAACTGAAGCTTAGAGTTTAAGAGCTTGCCCACAAGGTAGTAACATAAATCCAGCGGGTAAGAGACAACCTGGGCAAAAACTCCATGTCAGTGTGTGTCCCAGTCCTGTGTTCTTTCTTGGAGCAGTGGTCCAGAAGCCGGGATCTTTTAAAAAATACAGATCCCTGGGTCAGAGTCAGCATCTCTGGAGGTGGGAAGCAGGCATCTGTTTTTAAAGCAAAACAAACCTCCGAGGTGAGTCAGATATCAGTCAGGGTTAGAGACCATTGCAGGAGAGCACACTTTGGAAAGTTTAGAGAGAGAGTGTGTGTATATATGTGTGTGTGTGTTTTCAGTCAGTTACTAAATGGGGATTGAGGTAGTCTCAGAGAGCAGTTGTTTCCTGATTTTTATTTCTGTTCACATCTGCCCATTGACTTTATAAAAATCAAAGACCCCCAAATTATTTAATCTGATTCTCTTTATTGGTGTCCATATTTGTATTGCAATTAGTGTGTATCTAAAAGTATCGGGAAAAGTTCTCATTTCTTCTGCTGCTTAGGGTTATAGGTCAGTCGGAGAAGTTTAGTTCAGGGAGCAGTTAGTGGAATGGCTGCTGTAGGCCTGGGGGAACTGGGCGGGCATGGTGTCCTCTGTGAAGGAACAGCTGCTGCTTAGCTCTGAGTCAGAAATGGGGGCTCATTGTTGGCTAGATCTTCTGATTTTTCAAGAGAAGCAAGAAATCTGGATTTTTATGGGAAAACTCCCAAATTTAAAAGAGTTGGCAGGAATCATAAATTTTAAAAAACCCAAAATTCCAAGGGTCAGACAGAACCCACCTAAGGGATGGATTCAGACCCCGGGCGGTGCTAGTTTTCAATATCTGGTCTCCTTGTGAGGCTTTCGTGATGGTAGGTGGTTTGATCTGAGTCTTTGTATAAAAACACATTTTATTCTAGACCAAATGTGAGGAGTACTGGCCCTCCAAGCAGGCTCAGGACTATGGGGACATAACGGTGGCAATGACGTCAGAAATTGTTCTACCAGAATGGACCATCAGAGACTTCACAGTGCAAAATGTAAGTAAGAGGTCAAGAAGGACAAGTCTCATGTAACATTAACATATATAAACCTTGGGTTGATACTTTTTAGGTTGGTATTAACCAATTTTTTTATGCATCAGAATTATATTTTTGCTTTTTTCTTTACGGAATAAAACAATCCATACCTGCATATACTCTAAGGCAGCCCTTCGGCTTTGCTTTCTTAAAGAGAATTTCCTAAGTTGTTCTTAAATAAAGTGAATCTTAAGAGCATGGCTCAGTATCTGTACTCCTTTCCTTCCACTTCCACGTGACCTGCTCATAGAATTTTTGTTACAAATCAAGGCCGTTTTGGATTATTTGGTTGGAAATATGACATCAGGGGTGGCCATTTGCTATTGGAATAGTTTATAATGACAGTTACAATAATAGGATTCCAGGACATATACACATGGCCTCCCTTCCCCCAAAATGTTATGAAAACAAATGCAGTTAAATTGTGTAGGCATTCTAGGAAGTCAGTTTATGTGTCCTTTTAATTTTGTAAAGGATGTTTACAAATAGAATCAGTGTCATGAGCAACATTGATATCTTTTGATGGCTGCATAAATCAATATAACCCTCTGCAGTTTATATCAAAGGCATAAAAATACCCGTCCCCCTTTGATCTGGTGGTTCCAAGTTTGAGAATCTGCCCTGAAGAAATAATCTGAAATATAGGAGAAGGCTTATTATTCATAAAGATGTGTCTGAGTATTATTTATAATGGGGGGAAATATTTGGAAACCATGCAAATATCTAGCTTTTGGAGTATAGATAATGAAACTATAGGTTATCTAGTCACTGTATCATTATTCAGCTATTAGAAATGACGGCTATGGAGACTGCATAATTACCATGAGGAGAAGTTAGAGTGTAATTGAGGGAAATATACTAGGAGACAAAGTTTTATGCACATTATGAATAGTGCCTAAAAGAAAAACCTGGAAGTAGATTTAGTAGAGTTGCGTTTATGAGGGGCTGGTGGGCTGGTTTCCAGTCTATGAGAATTATCCTTGAAGATTTCATAAGTCATTTCATGCTACACTGTTGTAGTATATTAACTCTTTGCTAATTGCCGTGTCTCAAAGGCTCTGGCCTCCATTAATACTTATTTCAGTTCCTCTCCTGGAGATGCCGTCAAAGCAGTTAATCATGTATTGAATGGGTCACATAAATAATGCAGTTCACCATAGCTGAGAATCCCTTAAAATGTCATACTTATTTCTATAGATTTCACCCATTTGAAACAGACTGGTTTATCCTTGGTTGCTTTCACTGCTTGGAGTTTGCCCTTGTGGAGGGGAATTGTGGATAGAATTGTCCACATCGTTAAAAAATTTACTATTATTTTTATTAACTAAACTCCAGACTTTATTCTAATTTCATAGTTTTCCACTAAAGCCCTTTCCAGTTCAGGATCCAATCTAGGATACCACATGGCATTTAATAAAATATTATTTTTAATTGTACAAAATGCATGAATATATTTTCCCTTTAAAAAGTGGGAACATAACTGATAGGGCTGAAAGTGTCCTTTGCCTGTCACCTCTAACCTGAGCCTCTTTGCTCTTCTGTGGAGATAATACCGAAAGTCTGACCTTCCCCTCAGCTCTCTCCTTCTCCCCTCTTTTCTCTCATGGCTGGTTTCTTTCTTTGGATGATTACTTATAATTAAATCTGTGAATGTTATGTTCCTGCGTGACGGGATTTCACAGTACCCTCTTCCCTCACTGCCCTTTTTTCTTACTGTCTTCCACATTTTGAATAATGTGAATGTACTGCTTTTATAATGTATATACATTAACAACAACAAAAGAAGCTTCAAAGGGTAGCTGTCATAAAGAAGATGGAAATGCCAGCAGTCCAGATATAGCTACACACAGGTGAGGCCAGTGCCCAGGTGTAGGCATAATGAGTATAGTTGAATCAGGAAAGGGAATGGCCCAGCCTGGGTGGAGTTCTGATAATTAAAGGTATGTGCTTTGGTCCAGGTAGGAAACCAGTCTGCATAATAACTAACTCTGTTATAATAAGCTTCACTTTCTATTGTCTATCTGAAGTCGAAATAGATGCCCTTTCTCAAAGCCCTACAGCTCTAAGTATTTACTTGGTGCTTGCCGGTTGCCTATCACTTTATTAAATTCTTTGTAAGACGTGAATTATGAGTCATTTCTTGCCCCGAAGGCACTGACTATCGTAGTTGTATTTGTATAAATTTATTTTTGGTCAGTGACATTTCCAGGTGGGCTCAAGGGGTGGGGTTTATGAATCTCTAAGGAGGTGTAGGTGTAAGAATGTGAGCACATTATTGGCAGGAGGCTGGATTGGAAGGGGAAGATTCTGAATTCAAAATCGAAGGATGAGAGACTTCTGCCTCTGAGCTGAGTGTTAAGAGAAGTTGTTTCACTTCTTGGAACCTTCCTCCTCCTTTTTTAAAGGGGGATCATAAACCCTCCTGCTTGGCATGTTATGAGGATTTGATGAGCACTTTATCAGCTGTTGTACCAATGGACCATTCTAATTTGTGGTCATGACCACTTCTGCTGAGCTGCCTTTCAGCTGAGCCGTGCAGTTCAGTCTTCAGGTACTGCTTGATCTAGCTTGCCTTTCTCTCTGGATCTTACAACTTTTCTTGGCTTTTAGATCCAGACAAGTGAGAGTCACACTCTGCGTCAGTTCCATTTCACCTCCTGGCCTGACCATGGCGTTCCCGACACCACTGACCTGCTCATCAACTTCCGGTACCTTGTTCGTGACTACATGAAGCAGAGTCCTCCTGAGTCACCGATTCTGGTGCACTGCAGGTATGCAGATGGCTGTCCGTGTGTGACAGATTTCAAATGTACTTATAAATATGGACACTTTTGGAAAAAAAAAAAAACCCTAAGAGGGAATGCAATAGGTATTTACAAATTCAAGAAAGGTTTGGATAAGGGACCAATAAGGAATTAGGGCTTATTCCCTAAGCCTTTGACTTTAGAACGGGGGTTGGCAAACTATAGCCTGTGGGTCAGATCTGGTCACCTGCCTGTATTTAAAAAAAAAATCATAATATATTTAAATTTCTTTCTTATTTATAATATTTTGTTTTGAAATATTTCAACCTTACAAAAGTATGGAGAATAATAACAATTTAATCAGGCACAACAAGATGCCATATATGTTTCTTTTTGTTAACAATACATTACAGATATAATTAAAGTCTCTGCTTACTAGTCTCCTATCCCATTTGCCTTCTTACATAGGTGAATGTGGTCCTAAAGTTTATCTGTATCATTCCCTTTTGTGCTTTTATATTTTATTACATATGTACGTAACTCTATGGTTTTATATACTTTAAACTTTTACCAGATTTTATAATGTATACATCATTCTGCAACCTGTTTTGTTTAGCATTTTGGTTTGCTGTTTAACAATGTTGAAACACATAACTCTGGTTCATTTTATTTATTTAAAAATATTTTTTCCACATGTAAAAACTGCCTGTAAATTAATGAATACAACATAATGAATACAACAGTGATGAGTTTGGAGATGAGTATACCCCTGTGAAACCATCACCACAGTCTATTTGGCTGTCTGTTTTTGTAAATACAGTATTATTGGAACACAGCCATGTCCATTTGGTTACATATTGTCTATAGTTACTTTTATGCTATAGTGGCAGAAAGAGTTGATTTGCGAAGTCTGAGAAGCTGAAGATATTTACTCTCTGGCCCTTAACAGAAAAAGGTTGCCACCCTCTCCTCCAGAACAATAGGAAATTAGCTTTGAAGCTGAAGGAATTGATTTTAGGACAGAAGAAGGGAGGGACTTTGTTGCCCTCTGGGGAATAAATTGATGGAACTTGCCAACCTAGATACAGTGGCGACTTCAATGGGACTGAGATTCAAGATGCTCTAGCAAGGTGTTTTATTTGTGGCATTTGACATGAAAGTCACGTTGGAGCTTGGGCCCCAGTTCTAAGCTAGTACAGTCTGACTTGAAAGGTTTCAATTGAACCAATTGGTAATGGTCCTGGGCTTGACCCTCAAAGCCTGTTAGTGGAGGAGAGTAAGATATATGTATAAATGGGGAAATGGGAGTTTTACAGTAGAGGTAACCCATGCTGACATGCTCATTTCCCCTTTTTTTCAGTGCTGGGGTGGGAAGGACGGGCACTTTCATTGCCATCGATCGTCTTATCTATCAGATGGAGGACGAGAACACTGTGGATGTGTACGGGATTGTGTATGACCTTCGAATGCACAGGCCTTTAATGGTGCAGACAGAGGTGAGCCCAATGTCTGTGTCTGACAATTCCCCCTTCCCTTCTGTGTTTAAAAGATGGCATCATGTCACGCACTTGTGTTAAAATATTCCACCCTTCCAGATCTTTCTGGCTCTTGGCTGTGAGGTGGATTTCTTTCAAGACCTTAAAGTGATGTGGGATTGAACTACCCCACGATACCCGATGCAGTGACATAGTTGTCCTGATAGCAGCAATGGAGCTACAAACCGAGACAGTATCAGGATTCCTCACCTTGCTGCCACTGACTCACCAAATAATCTTAGCAAGTCTCTGAACTTTGGCTTCCGGGTTTTAAACTCATGAAACTGGTCTTTTCAACTCTTGATTTCTAAGAAGGTCTGACCATTCTTAAAATAAGCTAATGAAATGGACTCATCAAATATTAATGATACGAAATAGGATAATGCCGCCTTAAGCTTTAACACAGCAATATATCCTCACCCTGCCTTGTAAATGTTAAAGAACATCAATCATCATGGCTGCGGGAGGATGGTGACCAATTGGGAACATGCATGCTTAATATCTACAGTGTCATTTATGTAAAACTGTTGGGTTTGGCTTTCCCTGAAATGTTCCTGATAAACTATGTGTTCAAGGCATGTTCTCAACACGTGTATTGGGAAATAGCCTTCCTCAAAGCTGTCGGGATGAATGCTCCCGGCCAGGATAGAGCAGAATATTAATCTTGTATCAGGCCGTCACCCTGAACCAATTCAGAACTCTATGAGTATGTGTTGTGTTTCTGAGTCCAGCAGGGAATGTTCTGGAGGCCTGGGTGCGTTGTGTGCTTCGGGGTGGCGCAGAGTGGCTGTGGTGGGAAGAGCAGAAGTCACCTCCTGCGTTGGTGGGGACAGAGAGCTCCTGTTTTCTGCTGTAATTAATATATAGAGTCGTAGTTATCAATCTTTTATCCGCTTTCGAGAAACACAGAAATCTTATACCTGCTTACAAATGTTCTCATCCCTTTTTAAAATATTTTGAAAATAATATAAATTTGTTCATATCAAAAAAATTTAACAGTACAGGATTATACAGAGGACGTTTTTCTCTTTTACTTTTTCTTCCCCAGTTCCACTCCCTAGAGGTAGCTAGTGTTTACAGCTTGCATGTATCTTTACAGGCTTCTTTATGTACCTCTGTTAAAAATATATATATACACACACACACACACACACACACACACAGAGCATATTTTAAAAATTGGATCTTATTTTGTAGGTAATGCTGCCCTGTGATGTTTTTCTCCTCTAACAGCATTATGGATATCTTTCAGCATATACCCTTTCTTCCTCTTTTTTTTTTTGCGGTACGTGGGTCTCTCACTGTTGCGGCCTCTCCCATTGCGGAGCACAGGCTCCGGATGCGCAGGCTCAGCGGCCATGGCTCACGGGCCCAGCCGCTCCGCGCCATGTGGGATCTTCCCGGACCGGGGCACGAACCCGCGTTCCCTACATCGGCAGGCGGACTCTCAACCACTGTACCACCAGGGCCTTTCTTCCTCTTTTTAATGGCTACCTGCAGATTCTGATGTGCTTGCCTGAAGCATGGGGACCTTCAGGTCTACCCCAATCATTACCCCTGTCTCTACACCCCCTTCAGGATGGGGACCCCCAACTCGGTCCTGATCATCCCCCTTTAACCCACCCCCTCTGTTGAGAATCACAGCTTATTCATTCTCTACATCCTCCCTAGCCAAGAAAACCCTGCTGGACTTTTTAGTGCATTATTTCCTCCACGTTCTTTCTTTGCCCTTCCCCAAGATTCTGGTACTTTTCCTTGGTGCAGGGAGGTGCGGGGAGTGCGCCGCTCTCATTGAGAACCATTAATGATGAGAACCTTGCTGTCAGTGGTTTCAGATTTCACCACTATGTTATTACCCCTTGACCTACGTGAACTTGGAGTGTTCACTGTGGGGTGGGTGGGGTTGGAGGGCGGTAATCTGTTTGAAAAAAACCTTGGGTGCGCACCTTCAGGACCTGTGCTCATTTGTTTTCTCTCTTTCTTTTTCTAACAGGACCAGTATGTTTTCCTCAATCAGTGTGTTTTGGATATTATCAGATCCCAGAAGGACTCGAAAGTAGATCTCATCTACCAGAACACAACTGCAATGACAATCTACGAAAACCTTGCACCAGTGACCGCGTTCGGAAGGACAAATGGTTACATTGCCTAAATTCCAAAGGAAAACCTTTCTGGAGTTAACCAGACCGTCACACCCACAGCAGAGGAAAATGCCCCGATGTTGACATGTTTTTATATGTCTAGTATCCTAATTCTTTGTTCCGTTTTGTTAGAACTAATTTGAGAGTGTGAAGCTGCGCATGTGAAACGTGACAAGTGAGAAGTTGGGGCTGTCAGGGGCTGTGGATGGGTAGTGAGCAAATCAGCTATGTTTCTGATTATCAGTGGGATGAGTTCCCTTTTTTTTTTTCTTGAGAATTACAGAACACCAGGAAAAGTGAGCTATGATTTTTTTTTCTTTTACAAGACGTTCTTTTTTAAAAAGACTATTTTATATGATTCACATGCTAAAGCCAGGATTGTGTTAGGTTGAATATATTTTAAGTATCAGAGGTCTATTTTTACCTACTGTATCTTGGAATCTAGCTGATGGAAAATACATAATAGTGGATGATTATCATGTAGGGAGGGCTACGTGGTACCTCTCCTGCCTGGGTTTTCTATTTGAACATGTGCCTTTTCTGAATTATGCTTCCACAGGTAAAACTCAGTAGATCTCTATTTTTGTATTGAATCTCATAATTGGACTATGTGGAATATTTAAACAGTAGTTTAGTATCAGAGGTTCAGCCTTCTTAGTAACATTCCTGTTCTCATTTGATTAGAGGAGATCCTCCCCAACTTCCTCCATCCCCTGTTTTGTGCTCTATCCTTTCTTCCCTTTTCCCCTCCTATTTTTCCCCAAAGACACTTCTGATGGCCACATTTTCTGCCCATTGGTTGGGCAAGAGTGGAAACTAAATTATCACCGTGAGAATTTCGGGGTGGGGGAAGGTCGGGGGGAAGCAGAGGAACCCTTCAGTGACACAATAATCTTTTATTGTCCCCATTTGATCTTTTTTCTCATTTCTGTATGTGGTAAGAAGGATTATTTAAAGGTGCAATATGTGGCTTAGTGATTCACGATGCTCTAGGTTTTTAGAAACGTTTTACTCAGGTTGGCATTTTATGTGTCTCTGTGTGTCCGTGTATGTGTGTGTGTGTTTTTAAAAGCGTGGCAATCTGCGAACACTTCCGTGTGAAAACAGTGTCAGATGAATCCCTCCTTCCGTAGAGTCTACTGGCTTTAGTCTGTATCTGCAGTGACACATACCCGTATCTGCTGTATATATATATACTAAACTCTTAAAACAGTCATTCCTTGGAACTGAGGTGTACAAAGTTCAAATTTCTATCAAAGATGTAATTATTATTTTTAAAACTTCTTTTCACTATACTGCTGCTGTAATTACTTTGATTTTTTTAAAGTGTAGGTTGATTTTTGTTGTTGTTGTTTTTGGCTTTCAGGTATGTGTATCCACCGAGAATTTCAGAATCTATGTGGATTTATTTTATTGGTACATAATCTGTAAACTTCTCAAGGCATTAACATGAAAGGATTTGTTTCTTTTTATTTTATATTGTGGCTCAGGTTATATTTTGAAGATGTGTTGAGTTTCTCCTCCAATAGGCAATGAAGTGTACAAGGTCTTATGAAGGAATGACCAAGTCCCTGGAGTCCTGTGGCCGTTTCCCACAGTCATAAATCCTGCTGTAAACATAGGACGATGTGTCCTATTGAAAATGGGAGCGGCGTGCCCTGGTCACCGTGGATCTGTGGGATCCTGTCTCCTGACCCTGCCATGCTCCTTAACTCACCGGCACTTTGGTCACTGACTGGACAGTTGGGTATCTTAGGGTCACGAAGGGGGAACCACCGCGTACAGAAAGCCCTTGATTCGGTTCAGAGGTCGGGTGCTGCACGTCTTTTGTCTCCCTCTCCCTTTGAGGTACTGAAAGAAATAAAGGAGAAGTGGTAATGGTGTCGTGTTTTGGGAGAACCTTACTTCCCAAATGGAAATTGCACTTTTTGCTGAATCCTTTGCTCTCTTTGGTAGAAAGCAGTTTGTTCAGTATCAGGCCCTTGGAGGAGTGGGCTGGCCAGGCCAGGCCAGGCTGGGTCCTCCTCTTCGGCTCTGAAGATCTGCATCAGGGAAGCCGTGCTGTCCCGGGGTGTTGAGGAAAGCTGGGTTTGGGCGATTGCTTCCAAGCCTTCACACTTGGAAGGCTGCCCCTTGCACGCAGATCTTGGAGGGTTCCGTAACTTCTTCAGTGGTCCCTGTTCAGGCAGCAGTTCTGTGGGTCACACCCCTTCCCACTCCAATTTGTCAGGAAACCACGGTGATGGGTGCCAGTGTACCAAATCCCATGTAGATGTACGCCCTGCCCACATCACTGCCGCTGCCGTGGAGAAGTCGGAGGGAAGGACTTAACTCGAAAAATTCCTTTAAAAGATGAAAGCAACAATAATCATAAACATATTGTGTCAAAATGCAAAACCCAGAAATCTTCCTCCCTTCCGCCTGGGATGATCTTGGGAAATGGGCAGCAGCCACTCTCAGACGTCATTCCCAATCCTGGGAGGAAGGCTTGTGGTGGAGAGGCCTGGATTCCAAATGGGCAGGTCACACGAAGGTCAGGACGCTTCTCTGCATCCTGAAGAGACCTGGCGATGGGCCAAGGGTGGGGGGGGGGTTGGTGAGGGTATTTATAGCACAGTGAAAAGGGAAGATTAATGTGTAAATATAAAGGACACCCGGGCTGGGGGTTGGTCCCAGAAAAGAGAAAGTACTTTTGAGTTCCTGCCCCCAGCCCTTCCAGGAGCAATGGAACAGTGAACAATGAACCCAACTTTGAGGAGTCCAGTGGAATCGTGGGGATGGTGTGATCGCCCTTGCTTAGTATTTGACAGTTGCATACAGAAAACCAGCCAGGATGGGATGAGTTAGTTTGGGGGATTTGGGCCATTGATATCTCCTCCCAAGAGCAAGGACGTTTTGTCTGCAAAGTTAAATCTCATGATGATTGGCCCCAGTAGGAAGTGACATTTGGGTCTGTTCCCTGTGGCCGTGTAACAACCCTTAGATTTTGGCATAACTGACTCCGCTGGATTTGGGCATCACCAAGTCATAGGCTCCTGGGGTTGGGGCCAACTGTGCAGATGATTCACGTTCGCTTTTCATCTGGGCTGAAAAAGCCTGGTTTTCTTTTGAAATGCTCCATTGCACTTGCTGAGCGAATAAACGAGTCTTGGTGACCGATGTCGATTTGCCTCCAAAGTCCAAGTTCTGAGTTTTCAGACTGTGTGTAGCAGTCGAGTATTTAACATACTGTAGCTTTTTTTCCCTTGGGGACACCTATGAATAGGAGATGTTGATGTGGACTCTAAAACTGTAATTTTCTTGTAACAATTTTGGAATGATGCATATTTCTAATGTTTGTTATACTTGTACGGAGTATTGCTGTTGGTTGCTTTTTTTTTTGGTTTGTTTTTTAAGGAAAAAAATGGCCTGAAAAAAAATTTTTTTAAAAGACATAATTACCAAATATAAAAAATGTCAACACATCATGCCTCTGTTTGACTCTCCCCCTCCTTGCTTTATGTCCACGTCATGTCACTTACCGAGCCGTTTAGTGTCCTGCATTCAGCTGGGGCATCCTTAACAAAAACACGTTTCCCTTGGGATTTTCCCACATCGTTTTGGTGTGCCAGGGCTGCTGTAACAAAGTACAACAGACTGGGGGGCTTAAACAACAGAAATGTATCATCTCGCAGTTCTGGAGGTTAGACGTCTGAGATCGAGGTGTCAGCAGGTTGGTTTCCTCCGAGGCCTCTCTCCTTGGCTGGTGGACGACCATCTCCCCCTTTGTCTTCACATGGTCGTCCCTCTGTGTGTCCTAATCTCTTCTTATAAGGACAGCAGTCACAATAGATTACAGCGCACTCTAATGACCTCATTTTACCTTACTTACCTCTTGAAAGAGTCTGTCTCCAAATACAGTTGCATTCAGAGGCACTGGGTGTTAGGACTTTAACATATGAACTTCGGGGGCACGTAATTCAGCCCAAAACACACATGGAGGGTGAGGAAGTGGAGACCTGGGGGAAATGAGCGTGCAGCTCAGGTGTGTGCTCACAGAGGGTCGGATGTGGCTCTGCAGGTGGACACACACCCACTCGGGGGTGGCTCATATGCCTTAGGCAAGCCTCCGGAACTTTTAGAGGGTTTTCTGGTTGATGGATTTGGGGAATCTCAGAATTGCTGGGAGACTGTGGCAGTTTGGGTACGTTTTCTTTCATCTCGCTCCCTTATGCCTGATGCAAACTCTAAGTAGACGGAGATGATTCTAAGATCTCTCTTATTCCTCTTGTCCGAAACAAATTAATCTATTCGACAGTGATGTACTGAGTACCTGCTACACACCAGCCACTATACCTTGGCGGCTGAGGGTTCTACTGTGAACAAAATGGACAGAAATCTCTGCCCTCATGGAACTTACATCCTGATAAGAGGAGGCAGACAAACAACATACATAAATAAAATCTTTGTTAGATGATGAAAATAAGGAGAAAAATAGCATTTCACACCCAGATGCACCAACTGGCTTTCACACACAAGGCAGTGCAGCCACATCGTGTCAAGGAGAAAGTGTCGCAACACGCTCTCCACCCAACCCCTGACTTACTTACTGTTTGGTCGGCGGCAGTGCCTACTCCTCGGGTCCATCAGGGACACAAAGGGTGAACGCAGCACAAGTCCTGCCTGTAAGAAGTGGACAGTCTAGAGGGAGTGGCCAGGGGCATGTGTGATGCAAACGCACAACAAACCCCACGAAATACTGGAGATGATAAAGGAACAGGTGACAGGGGTCCCAGGAGCATAAGGGGGGGGTGGCATGTGAGGCAAGTCTTGAGCAGGATTTTAGTTGGAGGATATAAGGGGGAGGCAGGGGGTGAATGTGCCCTCTTGGAGGATGGTAAGGCCTTCAGGATGAGGGCGTGCAGGGAGGGGTGAGGTGAGGTGAGTTGAGGTTGTGCCTGATGACCCTGGCAGGGAAGAGCCCTAGGATTGTAAGCCTGGTTGATTAAAACCGTCTCACCTTTAAGACGTGTGTGTGTGTGTGTATACGTAAGTAAACTTACACACAGACATATATACACACAATCTTGCCTTCTCTATTTTCTTTGCATGAAAACTGCACAGTGGTTGCAAGGGTGAGTGACCACAATAGGATGGAAGGAAGGACACCACCAGACCCTTGACTGGTTAGTGGGAGTAAAGGGTATACTTTCTTGCACAGAACAGGCCACACTGTGGCACGTTCAGTGGGAGACACGTTTGCCCGGGCCTCCAGGTCCCACTAGGTCCTCAGTGGTCATTGCCATCGGGCAGAGCACGTGGGGTCCTGTCAGATCTTTCATTTCCCTTTTTGCTGATCGCACCCTCTCAATCCCTTTCTCTCTTTCCCCACCTCTTCCCTTTCTTTCTCATTTCTCATCCTCCTTGCCTGTCCCAACCATCTGGAGACTACAGCTAAATGCTGGCCTGCTTGCCAAGTCAAAATGACTACTGACAATTCCAGCACATTCCTGAGTTGTTTATTTGAAATACTGGGCGAAATCAGGTCAATTTTCCAGGCATGGATTCCCATAGTATGTCCAGGTCTGCCCGAGATCCCTTGCTGTAATTACTTTCCTGATTAGGCAAAAAGCACAGATCTGGAGCATACGACAATGGAATTATTCCAGACATGATTACTTGCCTCATTGAGGACAGAAAATACTTTGCTTTTAAAGAGATGCTTCCAGATCTATGGTGGTAGGAAGGATGGTTCAGGTCCAGAAGCTTGGAGGCCTGAGCTTTAGTTCTCCCCCTGCCCAAACTGACTGAGTGGAAATCACAGAACTTTTCTACTTTTGATAAGCATCTTTAAAAAACAAACTTTTTATTTTATATTGGAGTATAGTTGATTAACAATGTTGTGTTAGTTTCAGGTGTACAGCAAAGGGATTCAGTTTTACATATACAAGTATCTATTCTTTTTCAAATTCTTTTCCCATTTAGGGATTGAGCAGAGTTCCCTGTGCTATACAATAGGTCCTTGTTGGTTATGCATTTAAAATATAGCAGTGTGTACATGTCAATCCCAAACTCCCTATCTTCCCCCCCCCGCCCTTTCCCCCTCTGGTCACCATATGCTCGTTCTCTTAAAAAAACAAACAAAAAAAAATGATGAGCAGTAGATGACAGAGAGCTGAAGTTTGCCCGAGGTGTCTGGAATGCAGCATCTGTGGCTTGTTGAATACACAGCCCTGAGTGCCCGAGAGGAGTTGGGTGCTGGTGGATGTCTTCTAGTTAAAGCTGAGGAAGTTTAAGAGGCTCAGTTCCCTAGGAGGGCATCTTCCCACAAGTGTTTTGAATGGTCATCTGACCATTACAAGTTCAACTGGGAAGGGCCCATCTTCATGTCCCAGCAGAGAGGGGCCTTGAGGGTAAGTTCAGGAAGAAAGAAGATGGCAGGTAGGAATGTGGTTATACTTTTGATGCTGTAACATGCTGAGACACTCAACGTATTGCCTGGGATATATTAAACACCCAGTAAGTGTAGCTATTTATTTATCGATTTAAATTTGTATTGATCATGTCCTACAGGCTGGCAGTGGGCCCTCGGTGTGTACATTTGTGAACAAAGCAGGCATGATCCCTGTCCTTGTGGAATTGAAGGGCCTATGGGAGAGACAGGAAATTAAGAAGGAATCGAACTCGTATCTATCGTCACAGTGCGGCTGGAGTGAGAGGCCAGCCCCGGAGGGAGTGGGCAGGAGGGGCAGCCGAGACCCTGAGGCAGGAATGAAGCTGCACTTCTGAAGAGCAGTGAGAAGGATGTGGTCTTTAAGGCCTCGCTGGTGAGGAAGCTAAGGGCACAATATGAAGCCGGAGACAGTCGGGAGTGAGTCGGGCTGCGTGAGCCGCGTCGGGAGATGGGAAGTTAGCCTACAAGCCATGGGAGCCCATCAGAGTTTCCACAACAGAGTGTGCTGATGTGCCGGTCACTGCATGGAGAACGGGTTGTAGGAGGGGAGCCTGGAAGCAGGGGAGCCTGTTAGAGGCTCTGCTTTAGGGATGGTTTTGGAAATAGTTGGTGGTCACTTGTGAGGGAAGTGGCAGTGAATTTGGAGAGATGGGTGGATCTGAGACATGTGATGATGGTGGCCTGATGCATTCCCTCTCCTTTGTCTTGGACTTAAGACAAGGCCGCCCTGCAATTTGCTTTGGCCCATAGATGTGAACAGAAGTACTCATTCCAAATCTAGTCCATATGAGATTTTGCTTGATTTTGTTTTCCCTCTTCATTGCCATGAAAATGACCTCCCCTGGGCAGCTGCTCCACGAGCCTGGGCCCCAGAATGAATAGAGCTGCCCAGCCAAGCCCGCCAGGACTCTACCTTGGAGCAGAGCTACAGGGCCTAGCCCTGTCTAGGTCAGCTGGCTCCTAAGTGATCCATGAGGATAATTTATTCCATGAGAATCTATGACTTTGGGGTCATTTGTTATGTGGCATTTTTGTGGCAATTACTAACTAAAACACAGCCCCATAGCTAGTAATAGGCAGAACTGGAATTTGAATCAACTCCAAAGTTTGGTTCTTAGTCATCTCTTTCAACAGTAGATGATTTCGTTTAAAATGTAGTCAGTTTCTTAGCACAGGCAATTAGGAACAGAACCTGGAGGTATCTGACATGTGAGAGAAAACAGTAAGGATCTGCCTACATCTCTATCCTAGAGGCCTTCACTAAAGGTTATGTTATAGTTAGTTACGCTCGGCTTTTTTTTTTTTTTTTTGGCCACACCACGTGGCATGCAGGACCTTAGTTCCCTGACCAGGGATCAAACCGTGCCCCCTGCAGTGG